TCACTATTTCCATATACACTAAGTACAATTCAAAGGGGGGGGGGAGACTTTACAAGAACTTAAATAAGCAGAAAATAAATATACAACATTTCTACAAGTTACAGCATTATGGAACAGTAGAGTGCATTAATTACAAAGAAAAGGGGAATCTACAGTATTTAACAAAGTCAATTCTACAAAAAAAAGTTTAGAGAAATCAATCCGTTTTACTTCAGCTGCTGTACAAAAAATCTTACATGACATAGTAAGAAGAGAGGGAACATTGCACAGAGGCGACATTTGGCTCAGATGAGGACTGCACTAATCTAATAAATACTCAAATATTTACAATCATTCAAAAGGGGGGAAAGCATGGAGACACTAAGAAGAAATTTGAATATGGTTTCTCCACAACCAAAGAAAATTCTTCATAAAATGTTTTGGCAGGATTATATATAGTTATAGATATATAAATGGGATTTCTAGAAAAAGTTTTTTTAAAACCCACAAGTCTAATGTGGACACTGTGGGGATGTCAAGGCACAAAACCTGCACTGAACTGTGACAAACTAAAACGGGCCTTGCTTGATTTAGCATTTTAAGATATAATGTCTGGCAGAGATTTCTTGGAAAAACAAAGAGACCTTGGGTTTGGGCCACACAGTGCCAATATCTTGCCATTTACTGATTTATGTTATAATTCACAGAATTTTTTTTTTATTAAAAAAAACCACATTTCTTCGGCTTACAATTAAGTTTGCCTGAAGCCATGGCAGCAAGCTAATTGCACTCCCATGCTAGCAGTTAACACATATGAATGTGTACACATCTCAAGGCACTGGGCCAGCCGAGCCTTATAAGAAAAGGGGGAGGGAAGGTTATAGGGGTCTGAAGAGAGTGCACTGCGACTTTCAGGACCCCCCTTCCCAAAGCAGCTCCTTATTCCCTTAGCTCCCTCCCTCCACAAAAAAGCCACTCTTAATAGGTTACAGTTTCCTAAAGAATACCCTCTGTAACCGTGTCAATGAAGAACAGGGGAATCCTCCCACTTCAGGCGCTTGCCTGGAGCTCCCCGGATCCCAACCACTGAAAGCATGACTGCAGGGAGGATTTTGTGTTAGAAAGGCATTAAAACTAGAGTGCTCCAAATGGAGAAGCACTAAACAGAAAACACTTTGGTGAGTTCTTGAGAACTAATTCTGGTGGCAGAAACGATTTTAGAAGGAATCGCGATGGGACAGTGATGACAACTAATATGAGTCAGTTGGATCTCAAGAAGAGCTTTCTAATTGTTCCCAGTGAAAAACACAGGTTTCCCATCGTATGCTGAAAGATTACTGGCAAACTGCCGGTGTAAAAGCTGTATTATCAACATTGCTAAACCTGGAAATGAACTCCTTCGTTTCCCTGGTTTTTGGGATGCCACAAAAAATCTCTATCACACAGTATCAGTTTGAATGGTCTAAGACTAACACCCGCTTCTTTGCCTTTTTCAGTCAACCAGCTTTATGTGGGTACCATGCAATTAATTATACAGGCAAAATTACTATTAGTGGTGTTGCAATTTCTGCTTGGTGTTAAACAAATTGGGGAGAAAGCCCACAACATTGTTCACCAAAGCTAGTAAAATTAAGAAACTACCGCTGCTACAAAGCTACCATGGCTTTTGCCCTTGTTAGCACATTATCGCCGTTGGAGCTTACAGATGAACAGCCCGACCGAATAAGGGCTATACAGATAAGGAGACAAGACTTCTTCTGCACATGATTCCCTGGCTGGATCTGGAATAGCAAAAGCACAAGAGGATGAAGTGGTTTGGACTCTGTCCCTGGATGCAAGACTTAGGGATGTTTCCAACAGTGAACTGGCAACAGTCAAATCATGGCTGTCAGTTTGGACAGAATCTTAGCAGACCCTTTCCTCGTCTCTTGTTTTCAAAGAGGTGTTTGGCACTGTCAATATCAATCTTACTAACCATCTATGTACAGACATGCACCAGGTGATGTGTGTGAGCAGCTTATTGTTGCTTGTGCCTCTCTCTAGCTTGGGACCCCAAAGCTTATTTTGATCATCTGGATTTATCCTATAATCTACTGCAGAAACATTCAGGACAGGGGATGCATCTGCAGGCACTAGCATACGAGCTGAAGTTGGCAAAACTCTCCAGCACATAATAGCACTTAGGATGGATTTGATATAGCCCAAAAAAGACTGCAGTTTTTTTAAAAAGAGGTTACAACATTTTCAGTGGCACTGGTGAAACCAGAAATTGGCGACGTAGCATTTGGAAGCGAGTTACAAACAGGAATCAGTTGACCCATTGTATTATGCAAAGTATCTGCACCATTTTATGTAACTGATCAATGGCCAAATAAAATTATGTGGAATAAGGGGCACTTGCAACCAGAACCTTTAAGCAACTATGCAGTTCCAGGAAGCTCATTTTGCAGTTGCCTCCCAAAGCAAAGTAAAAACGCAGTCCAAATCCACATATGAACCAGTTTACCATAACATGGTACAGCACAGGTTAAACCGCTCTGATTTTATAGGAGGAAAATGAAATGAACAATGTCCCAAAACTGAAGCAATTCAGGTTGCAATCCTTTAATCTACGCACGTAGGAATAAGCCTCATTGAACTCACGTGGAACTTACTTCTGAGATATAGGGATTGCATCAGGAAGCATCATGAAGGATATTACAGAAGCAAAATGTTTCTTTTTTAAAAAAAGGAAGTTGGGATCTGTGCCAATACTGTCTGCCATCTGGTTTAGTGGAATTTTACTTGATTTTTTTTTAATGGCACATTTTTATTTAAGTTTGGGATTGTGTGCATACTGTGGTTCTTTACCAATTTGGTATAGGGTACAGAATTCAGTATCCTGAGAATTTCAGCTCTTTTTAAAAGCAATTTATTAATCTTTTCGACTGCAAATCTAAGTCTGAAAGACTCCTTCCAAAATCTGATGTAATATCTGAATGCAAGGGACCACGGGGAGTCTTCGGGGCTCTGCCCAGCATTTCCCAAACCTTTATTACATGGGACACAGTGTTTTCTAGGATTAAGACTGGGGGCTTTACCATACACCTATTTTCTCAGTCTGCTCCCACAATAATCGGCAGGCATCCTCCTTACAACTACAGAATGATGCAGTTAAGAGGGTCTTACTGCCACTCTACATTTCCCCTTCTTCTGCCTGCCAGGAGTCAGGTAGAGAAGGACTGTGTGCAGGAGATCCCAGGTTCAATCCCCAGTATCTACAGGTAAGGATGAGAAAGAATCCTTACACACTTGTCAGTCAGAATGACAATACTGAGCTAGTTGGCTCAGTGGTATAAAGCAGCTTCCTATACTTTCTGGGATTCTCCTGTACCTGGCAGCCCATAGCGTACCCGAGTCAAGGAATCTAGCAAGTCCTTCCCACAGAAGACTCCCTCTTCCCATAAATTGACAGATAAATTGGGTAAAAGGGACAGAGGAGGGAATTAAAGATGCGCAGGACTCTCCCCAGTCCAGCATAGTGACTTAAGTTTTCCGGACGCATTTCAGTCCTTTGCTATGGCATACCACTGTGCCCCACCCTACAGTTTGGGAATTATCAATCCTTACCGCTCCCCTTTATGGCTTACAGAAACAACCTGCACAATTCAATATGTTGCACAAATCAGCGGTTTGCAGCAGGTTGCCCTTGATCCAGCTTTTTGTTTTTCTTATCACATTACAAGTAGCCCTGATTAAGGAACATCACAAAACAAAGTAGCTAACTCATATTAGATAAATGCAGCCAATCACCTATTGGCACCTTAGGAAAGGGAGGTGGAATAGGTGCCACTTGTTAAAAGGTCTTTTTTTTCTGGAATAAAATTTGTTCCTGCTCTTTCTTTTGTTGGAGTTTTCACCCTCTGAATACTGTGCTGCTGTTGACCTCAAACCCAGGCAGCGAGTCAGTAGTCCTTTTACATTCCACATTATGGTTGCTCGGTCATCTCTCATATTATTTAAAAACAAAGGCAGCAATTAACAAAATCCAGAGTGCTTAAAAAAACAAAAACAAAACGCAAAGACTGGATTTAAAAAAACAAAGAGAAATATACCAAAGTGAGGATCAAAACAGTGCCTGAAATTATGCAGTAGGACCCTGTTGCTAACAACTTTGGGCAATATTGCACAGGCATAGGAACTGCTTTCACCCACGTACAATGACTTATTGCTACATTCCCCCCTCCCCCCCACCCACCTTCAGTATATGTCATAGAATACACACTTATCTATACAAATTATAAAGGAAGAAAATTGTAAAAGGCAACCTGGTGACATTATTTGGAACATTAAAACTTTCACAGTTTAATTTCAACTTCCAAAGCAAATTCAAGAGTTCTCCTTCTGGGCTGCAAGATGCAACTGCTTCACCCAACAGAAGATTAAAAATGGTGCTTAAACAGCAGATGGATGTATTTCCCCTCCCCACCCCCACCCCAAACTTCTTCGGTGAATAATGTACAAGGATAGGTGAATTTTAGGTAGCACAGAAATTACCAGTCTGTCTTCTCACTGCTTGGAAAGATTCTGAACAGGAAGTGTGTAATATAAAAACTAAGACAGCTTTACAAAGTAGCTGGCTCAGACAATTCTGTTGCAAGGTATAATAGCAACCCACAAGTTTCCAAATGAGAACAGGATTCAATGATTTTCTTGAAAGCTGCAATATAGCAAGGTTCTTTTCTTTCTTTTTTAAAGAACTTTCAACAAAACAAAGTTAGCTCTACTTTCAGATGAAATCCTGTTTCTAAAAAAGGTGGTCCATTTCCAAATATCCATTTAAAAAACTTGCTTTCCTCAAAAAAACCCACAAAGAGGTCCAAACCGCCTTATATGGAGTCCTTCTGCTCCTTTTCATTTGCTGGATGTATCCGAGGTCAAGAAAGGCCTGTTACCTGCACCCAGAGACCAAAGACATTGTGTTCAAGGTTGCTGTCGCTGGAAACGAGTAAACAATCCCAAGCTGCCTCTTGGCGCGTTAGTCACTGCATTCTCCATATGAGGCGGACGATGTAATGCAACAGGCGCAAAATTATGATCTGGTGGTTTACTGCTTGGTAATCCAAGAAACCCTGCAAGAGGAAATGAGAAGTTCTTTTAATTCACGAAGCTTTCCTGTCTGGCAGTAATAATTACCGAATTTATATGCCAAGCACAGGAATTGCTATGCTAGCACAGTTAGGATAGGAAACTGCAAAAGCTATGCCAGGGCCAAGCATGACACGATGGCACTGTTATATGTTGGCACTGCAAGTCGTTCTGACAGGTGCTCAAGTGGCTAAGATTGATGTTCTGTACACAGTGAGATAATAAAACAACCAGTTAGCTTTTATTTGAGTTTTGGGTGTTTAGCATCACCTACTTGGCCACACTTCAACTTGTGCATTGTAATCAAAAGAACTATCATGTTGTTTGAAAGGGAGATAACAGCATATGTGCGTGTGATCACAAGTAGCCTACATGACATAAAAGTTTAATATTTATTGACCTAACAATGTTATTTATGTGAAAATTAGCCTCTGCTGATTAGATGGGGATAATAAGGCCAAGATGAGGAATTGTGTTCTTGTATTAATTGCTATGGATTTATTAAGATTTATGGTGTCTTGACATGAATTTGGCTTTTACTTGTTTTATGTTTTGACACATACTGTGTTTTGCTGTATTTACTTTTATTCTGATAGTCTGCCTTAATTGAGTTGGGGTGGGGGGGTTTGGTATTTTTTTACTGTTTGCTGTTCTGAGAAACTATCTGAAGTGGGATACAAGCAATTCTTTAAATGAAAATGCAAATACATGAGCAGAACTTGCTGCTTTTTCTCACCTGTGAGCATGGAAACAAGCTTGCTCTCTCCTTCTCTGTGTCCTTTCCCCCTTAGCAGTTCTGTCCTTACATTTTTAAATTTAAGCACCCCATGTTAGCACCTAGTTCAACATACACACATTGTGTGAACCAGTCACTACAGTACGTAAGCTCTTGAACAGCCTGAGCTATAAACCCCAAGATCACATTTCAGCCCAGCCATGAATACAGTGGAAGCAGGTGGCCTCAGACGACCCGTGCCACACACACACACACTCAATATTACACTGGCCTCTCACACAGAGTTGTCACAAGGATTACCAGGACAACATATGCAAAGTGTTCTGACCACTTGGGGGGAAGTATTCTATAAATACTGATACTAATAGGAGTCTTAATAATAAAACACTGCTTGTTTCAACATTAAAAAGTGTGAATTTCACATGTACACATTATCTAAATAGGAATTGGCACTGAGCTGCAGCTGACTGGAGGGAACAAAGTTGAAGGGCTGTACCTCCCTCTCCTCCCTCTGCCTTAGGGGCAACACCCCGAAGTCTGCTCATGCTACAAAGCAGAAATTGGAGGGTGCTGTCCATCTCTAACCAAAACAGTATCTATGCCACATACATAACGGAGCAACACTGTGTCCACTTATGAACATCTGATAGTAGCACCTCTGGCTGCAACAAAAGATAGAAGTGTAAACAACAGCATCAAAATGCCTCTGCTTGGTTTTTGCATCCCACTGATTCCAGTAGAACATCCTTCCATGTAAATGCATTTGAGATCATATGACTTTCGTAATTATGTAGGGTGTAAGAGAAATGCATCCTGTTAATGAGAAATGGATCTACTTGGGGGACACTCTGCAAAGCATGAAAAAAATCATCATTAGATAGCAGGGTGTCTGGGGTTTGCCTCCTGTCCTTGCAGTTTAGATTTTCCACCACCATATACAGGCACTGATAGCTGCTGTCCATGTATCCTGAGTTGAGTATACACTTACAAAGACAGCGCCACACAACATGCCTTAAAGCAGGAACGGGAAACCTGTGGTCCTCCAGTTCTTGTTAGGACTCCCAACACCCTTCAACATTTGGAGGGCCATAGGCTCCTCACCCCAGCTTTCAAGGAGATAGCACCTAGCAAAGAAAAACACTAGTACAGACCCATGTTTATTCCTTTTTACCGTGACTATTTTGCCATTCCACCCTCTGTCCCAGTGCAGCCCCTGCCCTGCTGAGAGGAACACTCACGAGAAGCTCACACCTACCCTGTCACACAAATCCCCACTCCCACCCCAGCAACTAGCCACGCTTGCCCACCTGGCTGTCAGTTTTCTACATGCTTGTAACTAGAAGTAAAGAAATCTGTTTGTGGAATGCTTAAGCACCCTCAGCGCTGGGACTAAAGCAACTGTCGCTATATTTAATCTTGTTCTACACTGCTTAATTCACTGTCACTAAGTTTTATGTGAGGTTTGTTACAAGAAACAAAATGGTATATAATTTATGAGATCTGGTAGCACACACAGAAGGAGAAAAGGGGAAGCCAAAAACAGGATGGTATTCTCAGAGTATAATTGTGTCATTGTCCAAATTGTTGACTCTCGAAAATGTTAAGAGATTCCCAAAGGATGAAATCTGGTAGCTATAATTTATCTGAGAAACCAGTGATTTGGCGTCGTTTGTGCCAAGAGCCTAAATAAAGCTATAGGCAATATGTGCCAGAGCTAATGAACTAGTGAACCTCTAAATTATTCTCAAGTGACTCCACCTGTGTAAACACTAGTTGGTTCAGTTTGGGGTATAAAAATATGCAAGCAGATATATTAGAAAAGATGCAGCCACGTAATGCAAAGTATGGCGGGTCACATATTAACATGTTGACTGCACTCAACTTTAGGTAAGCGCCACAGCCTGAAGGAAACAAGGAAGCTAACCAGATGGTGTATCATGCTAGTAATTTTACTTTCTATTCCTTTTTTTAAAAAACATTGTTTCAAGATAGAAGTGTAATGTGCAAGGTGGCCCAAAGTTTTACATATACAATAAAATAATGCCAGAGGCACATGTGGCAAATGTATGGTGCACATGGTTGAAACCATACAGACATGTGTAGAAGGGACCCTTAGAAGACCAGTTCAGAAGGAGCTACGACTCACCTAAGGCCAACTGTTATGCCACAAGACAATTCTTTGGGTTTTCAAGCTAGGCAAAAGTTTAGCTGCATAAAGAATGCTGCTAACATTTCCAAAGGCTGAACAAGACAGCGGCAGCTGCTGCCGAGTTTGCCTGACCAAGCCCTTGTCCCGATTCACCTGACATAATGGGACTGCGATAAGACCAAGGCACTTCCCCTCCACTTCTGCATAACAAGATGGGAGGAAATCAGTTTCGTGTCTGCAATTCCTGTAGAGGCACTCTAACAACAGCCTGTGATTTTTATCTCAAATGTATGGGATTGTTCCATAATTAGCCTTTCATAAGTTTATTTTCAAAACCATAAAGGCATTATTTTAAGTTTCTGTGTGTGTGCTTGTGGGACAGAGATGGCAACCCTTTCCAGGCAACCCTAAGTGGAGTAATCCAAGGCAGCAGAAAGATTGAAAAGGATATGATTACCCGTTCAGCATGTGGGAAGCCACAAGACAGTGATGCCACCAAAAGCTGATACAAATACTATTTTAAAAGGTACACAGAAAACCTGTTAATAAAAAAGCAAAATAATACCCCAACATCTTTTCTGATACAGGGGTGCCAAAAGTCCCTACAAGATGCAAGAGTGAGTATGCCCTCCTGTGCCTGATGGCATATATCATGACATAATGCTCTGCAGAGACATCTAATACATGAGATCTCTGCCCCCTCCCAAAAACAACAGGCAAGATTCATGCAAATCAGACATTCATGACATTCATATGGAGTGCCTATGGCATACGTTTACTGTATATGCATGGCAAAGAATGGAGGACACTCTAGCTTCTCCACCATGTGAATACTGTCACCACCTGTATAAGCGTCAGAACCAGATCAAAATCCCAACTCGCTGCTTCTTTAGGGGAATGGCTGGGAAGACAGACAACTAATAGATTCACAAAGGTCAAAGATTCAGAAGACTGGCACAAGAGATCCTGAATTATTTTGCATTAATACATTTTCTGCACTCCTTTAGTCTTCTTTCCTTCAGCTCACAAGAGATTTCGAATGGGTTGAAGCATGTAATTCAGCAACCCTGAAAAAGCTCAGCAGGACTGGCTAGAACTGGTCAAATCCTGCCTGAGAACTCCAAGTGTGTCTTCTTGAATTCCATAAAACACAGGAGGGATAGAAATGGCATAAATAAAAGACCCATAGCTTCCTGAAAGAACCGAGAAGCCAGCCCCAATGATTCCAACACTATCTCAGAGACCAACCCTAGAAGCCGGAAGTCTAAGGGGAAGCAGGCAGAAGGACACAGATGGACCATATTTCCAGTCTGTCTTGTGCTTGACAGCAGAAATACAGCCACTCAAGTGCAAAAAACCAACAAAACAACAACACCACATCTGTGTAAAGTCAAAATCAGTGGATGTTTGCAATTCTGGCTGATGGAATAAGTCCCATTGAAGATAGTACACTTTATTTCCAAGTAAAAATGCATACAACTGCAGGGTCAGCAGCAGTTATACATTCTGCTATAGAGAATGCTAGAAAATTGAGCTTCACTTTGGCAGTAGAAAATGAAGCCGCCATTTAAATTTGAGAATAGTATTATTAATGAAGTGAACTAAGCAGAAAAGCTGGGGCTCTGGGAGGGAGAGAAGAGTGAAACTATCCTTCAGGTTCCAGGCAGGTAAAAGAGGGAGGGAGGGGAAACCATCACAAACCTGAACTTAAGGAAACCTTGGAAGTTGCTTAACCATCCCAAGATGGTTTTTGCTGATCCAATTCTAGCTCAGTATTAGGAAGAGGTTCCACACAGTTGTATACAAAAGTAAAATGAAACAAAAATAGTCGCTGATGGGTAAGAAAGCAGTTCTGAAAATAAGGCCACAGAGTTACTTTCTCTCTTAGAATGGATCCCTCAGGCCTTGTGATGGCCCTACAGAAAAGAGGAATTTGCCTTGCTCAAGCAAGAAGTCTGTAGCCATGCAGGCAGATCAAATCAGAAGAGAAACTGCATCAATAAAATCTAACCTCAGATCTTCCCTGTACATGGGCATGCTTGTGTGACCCAGGAGGTGGCTGATCAGAGGCCCTCTAGAACACTGTGAGGTAGAGGCGAAAGCACGTGCAATTTTAGGCCTACAGATGACCTCGGTCAAACAAATCATGGCCTGGGAACAGAATTTTACTCCCTTCAAGTCTTACCTGCATAAGAAAATTCAGGTCAAGGCATGTCCCAAGTCCTGGGTCCAGATTCAAGGAAGGCTTCAGTCTTTCAATATATTTAATTTGCTTTAAATTAATAGTGCAATAGACTGAAATAGCAGCAAGTGTCAAGAAAGAAGAGCCAACAAGTAGCAATGAGCATACATAGGCAGCAAGGAAAGGAATAAGAGAGTCGAGTAAGATGGCTACTACAAAAAAAAAATCAAAAGAACTGCTAAGCAACAAAGTAGTCTCCAATAAACCCCAATCATTTGTACTTTTCCAAAACGCTGGTGCAAGGTTACTGCAAGACTATATGTTTTCAGACTTTACAATTAGGCTAACTCCTGCCATTTCCCCATGTGCTGCTAGTCTCAGCTCCTACAGACTATGCTGAATTTGCCATGGTCACTGAGGAACTTTAAAGATGTTCTCAGAGAGCCGAAGCATGCACTTAGAACCCTACCGGATTAGCTGCAATTCTCTCAAGTAAGCAGCCTCCCATGAGTTAACTTCTGGGCCTTAATCACCTCTGCATACAAGTGTCTGGACTGGCACAACAGTGGAATGAAGAAATACCCAAATCAAAACAATCTGCAAGTTCAATCCAGGGAAGCAGGTGCATAGGAAACAAAAACAGACCTTGACAGCCACTCGTTCTTTCTGAAGTCTCCTGTGAGTTTACTATTGTTATCAGTAGTAACATTTAGCAGCACATTCTACTCAAGTTTCCAGATATGAATGAGGAAACCAAAAAGCTGTCTAAAACCCAATTCATATGTAAACCAAATGACTCATCACAACAGTTCATTACGGAACACCCCTTCTGCACGTTATTTTGATGTGTGACAAATCAGGTGTGTGAAGCTTTGCCAGCTGAACAGAAAAGCTACATAGTCCAAAATAAAGGCGTGAAAAACGGGAAGGAGCTAAATATAAAACATACTAAACAGCCGGAGAAGTTTAGCCAAAACAAATAGCTAACGGGAAGCAAAACACTATTGAGGAAATATTTCTTAAGCTGAAAATTGCAGCCTGGAAAATCACTCAAATTGGTTTAACCAGTGATGCAAATAACACAGGGGCATCTGGAGGGGGAAAGTGGCAGCTGGAAGGTTAACCCTTCTTTCCTTGTCCCCTGGCAGCTTCCCCATCCCACAACCAAGCCCCAATAGTTTTTTGGGGTGGAGGATTAGGTATCTCATCTCACCCATATTTCCTTGCAAGAAAGAGCCTTGCTGAATCAAACCAAAGGCCCATTCTTGTCCAGCATCTTTTTCACACTAGCCAACCAGATGCCCATGAGAAGCCCAGATGCAGATGTTCCCCAGCAACCGGGATTTCAGAGGAATACTGCCTCAGACACTGGAACTAGTCATAATGGCTAGTAACCATTGATAGCCGTGTCCCTCCATGAATTTGTCCAAGCCCATTTAAAAACCATCCATAAAGCTAAAGGTAAAGGGACCCCTGACCATTAGGTCCAGGCGTGGCCGACTCTGGGGTTGCAGCGCTCATCTCGCTTTATTGGCCAAGGGAGCCGGCATACAGCTTCCGGGTCATATGGCCAGCATGACTAAGCCGCTTCTGGCGAACCAGAGCAGCACATGGAAACGGCATTTACCTTCCTGCCGGAGCGGTACCTATTTATCTACTTGCACTTTGAGGTGCTTTCGAATTGCTAGGTTGGCAGGAGCAGGGACCGAACAACAGGAGCTCACCCCATCGCAGCGATTCGAACTGCCGACCTTCTGATCGGCAAGTCCTAAGCTGTCTGTGGTTTAACCCACAGCGCCACCCGCGTCCCCAAAACCATCCATACTGGTGGCTATATAATATTGTGGTACTGAATTCCATAGTTTAATCATGCGCTGTGTGAAGAATAACATCCTTTTGTGTCTGCCCTCATTCTCCTAACATTCGGTTTCACTGGATGACTCCAGGTTTGACTATTATGAGAACTGCACTCGCCTTTTTTTAATACTAAAAAGCTGCAGACATTTTTATCTTCCTCATAGCTTCACACCCTGATCATTTTGGTTGCCATTCCTGAACCTTTTTCCAGTTCTGCATTATCATTTTTGAGGTGTGGCCATCAGAATTGTTCACAGCATTTCAAATTGTGGTTGTACCATAGATTTGCATAATGACATGATATTGGTAGTTTTACTTTCAACCCGTTTCCTAACGGTCTTTAACATGAAATTCACATTTTCACAGCTGCTGCATGCTGAATCAAAATCTTTGCCACGACCACAAGGTTCCCCATCAGTCACTGCCAATTCAGATTCCCTGAGCATATTTGTGACTTTAGGAATTCTTATTTTTTGCTCCATTGTACATCACTTGCTTATACTGAACAGCATTTGCCATTTTTATGCCCATTCTTCTAGTTTTGCAAGTTCCTTATAGAGCTCCTTGTTGTTGTTGTTTAGTCGTGTCCGACTCTTTGTGACCGCATGGACCAGAGCACGCCAGGCACTCCTGTCTTCCACTGCCTCCCGCAGTTTGGTCAAAATCCTGAATAATGCGGTGTCATAAAGGCACCCTGACTTCCCACTCCTAACTCCAAATAATAAATCAACTAGTCAAAAAGCACAGGCTCCAACAAAGATCCCTGGAGGAACCCTTTTCTTACAGCCCTCCTCTGTGACAACTGTCCATTTATTTCCTATTCTGTTTCCTGATCTTTAACCAGTTATTGATCCGGAACATGCCCGCCCCCCCCGCCACCCACCCCATGCAGTCACTTCAGTTGGCAAGCACAGGAATCTTTAACTGAATGCTAGACTGTGAATCTTCCATGTCCCCTGAGGGAGAGTAAGAAAGAGAGAGATGTGTCACTATTGATGCCACAGATCAGTTTGTGGTAATAACATGTGAACTTCCAAGTCAGGTTATTAGGTCTGCCAACACTGCCTAAAGGCAAAAGAACTGCACCATTCATGAGACAGGCAGAACAAGACACAAGAAGTGCAATGGTAATGGAAAGGAGGTCACTGCACTGCACACTGGGGAATTAGCAGTTCATTACATACAGAAAAAGAAGAGGAAAAATAGATCCCTAAGTTTTATATGTTATTGAACAACTGGTTCCTTTTGCTGAAATAAAACTAATTGCAATCTCTTCACTACTGATAAAGTAAGACTACTGCAGGGATAGACATGTCTGTACATGCCCAGAAGAGAAGCACTGTGTTAAGTCCTTCCCTGTCTGCAAAGCTACAGTGTCATCCTTCTGCTTCCAGTAACAAAGCACAGAGGACAGTTATGAAGTATTAAATAAAATAAATCCCACAGAATTGTGATAATTAGGCAGCTGCATTACAGTAGCAGGGAATCTACACATTTGGAGACCCTACCACTCACCAAAAGCACTAGCAGCCAACAGGTAGGCAGATGCAAGACATTGGTGCACGTGGATCAAACTCATGTGGTGTCTCCTCCAAGTTTTGACTAAAAACCAAGCATACCTTTACCAAAAACTACCAAAGGGTTGCCAACTTTTCCACTTGGCCTTGCCAAGCGCATTGAGACTTGGCAGTTCAAGCTTTTCCCACCATCTCCTCTCCATACCAGGAAAACACTTTACCTGCTTAATTTTCCAGTAATAAGCTGCTGGAGCAGGGCTAGCAACAGATATGCATCAGTGAAGACTCCCTCTGGCACACTGCTCACAAAATTATAAAAGTGCACCGTAGACCACAAAAGTTCAACCACCATATGGACAAAAGTATTGGGAAGAAAAGAAATAAATCAGTTCTTAAGCTCTACCTACTATTCCTTCAGACAGTAAATATATACCCGTCCCCAACTTTGAATTCCTTTGTGATTTTAAAGTGTAGAGTTGTATTCAATACAGCGCTACTGCAAACATTTTGACTGTTTTGTTTTTCTACTGTAGCCTTCTTCCACCTGGTGCCCTCCAGATGTTTTGAACTACAACTCCCATCAGCCATTTTGGCTGGAGTTAATAGAACAGGCACTGGCAAGCTCTGCCCTCCAGATGTTTTGGGGCTACAATTCCCACCATCCCTGACCATTGGTCCTGTTAGCTAGGGGTCATCTGGAGGGCCAAGTTTGCCTTTGCCTATAATAGAAGTAGAGGGCACAAGTTTAGGGGAAGGCTGTTATACTAAGAGACACAGCCTTTACCACTGAACTTACAGAGTTTCTGATATCAAAGCTATTGATTCGAAGTTAACCTGTCACTGAGCTGACTGAATAGTTTCATTCCCTCCTCGCTGCACAGATACTTATAAGGTACACCAGAATATCCCAAACTTTACAACAGAGGAAAATGGCAATACATTCCCCGCCCTTGTTATGTTTTGCTGTGAGCCACACTCCTGACAAAGCTCTCCAGGTCAAACTAAAGTATCTATGCGAAACACAGAAACAGTTGCCATACTTTAATAGGGGAGAAAAGCAGCAAAGGACAATTTTGACTGACATAAAGCCCCACAAAGAAGTCTCTTCACCGTACCCCATCCCAGTTGCTCTGATAAAATTTGCAAGCTCCCGCAACTGCTTTTCAGTAAAACTAACCATAGTTTGCTTTTTTTAAAGTTAGGGGTCTTCTTAAAAGGTAGCTTTATGAGATTCTTTCAATTGGTACTGAATGAAAACTGGAAAGAACACCAGTATGTACACACACAGTTCTGGCTTTCAGTAAACATCCCTCTGAATACCACTGATAAGGAATTTCTACATTATGGTGCAATTTTTTTACTCCTAGTCACAATACGTAAACATGCAAGTATATCAAGTTGAGTAATAGGGCCTGGGCAGGGCAATCTTATACGTATGTTACACTGGGGACTGGGGAGAGAAGAGGAAATGGTGCTGATACCCCAGCAGAATGACTGCACAACGCAGTGAATGCTCAGCTCAGTGCAGGAAAAACCATAAGCAGAAAATACAAAGGCTGCAGGAGAATGACGCACCCCCAGTGTCCCCAGAAACACTGCCACCACCCACCAACCAGGGACTTTGCCACTATCAACACTCTGCTGCAAACACACACAAGGGGGCCCATGAACTCACCTCAAGCTCCTTGAATGTGGGATATATTTGACTTGAATTAATACAAATAAAGTTGATATGCTACAGGAAGAGAAAAAGCAAGCAGTTTATAAGTAGATGAGTGGGTGAAGCAGGCTGCAGCTTTCTGCAAATTCGGCATATTTGGTGCAGTTTGACACCTTTATGAATAAGGAACCAACACCTTTGTTGTGTGTGCTTTCTCCTGCCAAAACTAAGAATACCCCTGTTTGGGCATACAGGGCTGCAGCAAAGAGATTAAAAAATTAAGTTACCCTTCTCGGACTGTAGGAAGCATTAAATTCATCTCCAATGCGCTGTAATTCCCGTGCAATCCATATTTCTGGCCGTATATCTTCAGGGATTGACCGTGACTGCCACCTATAAGCTGGATCAAAGCAACATAAAAACAAATACTTTTAAAAATTCCCAAAAGATACCTTTCCCCATCCCTCTCCCAATTTCTCACATGCATGCATCCAAAGGTTCTACATTAGTTTTCTGACTGAATTACAAGAATGAGCATGACAGCTCTAAAGAGACCCTGAAAACTTTTCACTGAGCTAATCACGAAGAAGCATGGGATTATATTTTACATTGAAGTTACCATGGCATCAGAAGCTTCAATTCCTTGCTTACTAAACCCATGACCGCCAATGGGCCTTCTTATGCTACCTCCCCACCCAGAGATAAACAGTAACTGATGTTCTCTAAGACTTTTACATGAGCTGCATAGAACAGCAAACCCTCAAAAACATCCAGTGAAAGCGTGTAACAACACATAGATTTACAAATGAGAATCAGAATCTGATCAGAATTTCAATATTCAAGGATTATGTCCCCCAACAGAAACCATGAAGCAAAAGGTGAATCTACCACAAGCAGTTCCAAGTATTCCCATGTCATCAAGTACCATGGAACCCCTGCCCAAAAGCACCCACAATGCACTGACCTCCCTCCCCCTTCTCATTCCTGGTAAGCACAGCAATACAGCTGTGTTGTGGCTCCACCCCACTGGGTATGCCCCTTCTGCGCCCCTCATAAAAGGTAACAGGAGTACAACTCTCAAATGCAAGAGCAAGATTTGCTTCTGCCTCTTGGAGGGCTCTGATACAATGTTCAACTCAGTGTCAAATAGGTTTATAAGGTATTCAGGAACTGGTCTTCTTGTACATCATGCACATTGATGGTATGCTATCCTTCATAGGACAGGTACCACAAACATCCAAAAAGCATGTAAACAGAGCAGTAGAAGGGACAACCTAGTTCAAACCAAAGCCAGGATTTCTTATGTGTGCATAACCTTGCACTTTAGAAGGAAAAGACTGATCTAATTAACAAGAAAAGAGTATTCAAAATGGGAATGCATGAAGTGTGATTGCAGTACATTGGATGCCTTTCCTATTTACAATGGCAAAGGAAGTTTCAATACATCAACTAACACGGTCAAGATGTTCTTAGACTTCAACTCCCAACCATCATGGCTAATAGCAAGGGATGATGGGAGTTGAAATACAGCAATTTCTGGTGGGCACTGCTTGGTCACTGCTGCTATAAGTATTACCTCATTCTCTCCCTCCCCTGGCTCAATTTTTTGCACATGAACAAGAACCGTCAATATTCACCTCAAATATTAAGTGTAGTAACTGACTCACGCTTTTGTCATTAAGCATGAAGCAAAATGGAATCACTGCCCAATACCTTCACTGGCCCTTCAGTATCAAGGAGTAATTCACTTAGAGGGAACAACAGGGTCATTCAGCTTGTGTTCAGTATACAGTACTAGAAAAGCTGACAGAAAGATTACCAGACACACACAGAAAATGCTTCACTGTCTAGCGTATCGCAGACCAGTCTATACGTGCCAGCATGGGTCTGCCAGAGTTACGTAGAAGATGGGGAGGGGGCTCCCTGATTTTATGTGCCCAAGGGTGAGAGTAACAGAACTCTCCATATGACTGCCACTTGCTTTCACACAGCCTCTCCCCCTTAGCCATTTTTCTCCCAGCCAGACCCACTTCCCACACTGGAGACAGAGTGAGAGAAAAATGGCATCCGGGGACAAAATGCAGAGAGACAAGTTGTGCCTGAGGGGAGGAATTCCATACCCCATGTCTACATGCCCCTTTTGCACTTTAAATCAGACACACACACACACACGTGAGGGATTTATATGTAATTATGTTTTTGACATCCAAGGTGGCTCTTATGTAACACAGCCACTTTTCAGGTTGGACTACAGCTGTATTTTTAAAATATGAACACATGCCTCTCTATAACCAAATATTAAATGGAAATATTTGAATCCCTTTTCAGCAAGGAGAATGCAATGTGCACTTCAGAACCCATGATTAACTGCAATGAAGTGTCAAAGCACACAATGAGGAAATATTCAGTTTTCCAACTGAACAAGGTATCTTTTGTTTTTTACTTGTGCATAAGGTGGGAGAAAAAAAATTGTTAGCTTTTTTTAAAAAGCCGCTTTAGGATCTGTGGACCCTTAGGGCCAAACTACAAGGTTTCTTTCCTTCAAAATGCAGCTTCCCGTGTATGGGTGGGCACAGACATTTATGTGAGAGATTTGGATAGCAGTTATGGTGCAGGGAGCATGGGTTAACTATAAGCCCCAAGTCAGTTCAATTTCCCAACTTAAAAATCACACACAACCCAAACTGCTGTTTGCCCTGTTACTCTCTTCCCCCCACATTAGAGCACCATCCAAATCCTGTCAACTACTCTCAGCACTCCTTTGTTTATGAAGGGAACTTGGGTATGTAATGTAATTTGGCTTGAAGTAGTATCCCTTAGCAGTGACATTACAAAGAATGATCCTTAATCAAGCAAATAGAGTGTGTATTCTAAAGCACGTGTTACACAAGGAAGCATTGTTAATTTAAAGCAGCAGATATGAATGCTAACCATGTACAGCAAGAAATACCACATAATTTGGAGAGCAAAATGAACAGCTTTCGGCACATAAATATCAGCGCTTGAGATGACTGTATGAACATCTATCCAAGATTATTTCAATCAACACAGTACTACCACTGCAGGGGTTCTGGTGGGATTACCTTTTGAGTGTTTTTCAGTTCTATGAACCTAGCCTGACTTCCCCCACCCCCTCTTCAACATGAAATGAGAATGTAAGCAAGCATGACAGAACTTTTTACACAAAGTATTCCGCAAACTTGGCATTAAAACCATAAAGGGATCATAAGGGAATACTCATAGCTTCCAATCTCAAAACAATCAAAAGCTAGCAGAGCAGTGAAAACGTTAAGCAAATGCGCCTGGCTTCAATCTGTATGGAAAAATTACTTCAGAGCCAGACTAACATTTGCTTGGCTTACAGATGTATTGTTTTCACATTATAGTAGTGAAATACCCGATCGGTTTTCAAAACAGACTTTGCATCAGGCCCAATTTTACTCACTTGCATAGCTGCTGAATTTCATTCAGTAAAGTCCTTGCAATACTGGGCTTACTCTGCTCCTAATCTTCTAGACCTTTTAAAAGACAAGTGTGGGAAGCCAACCAACAACATTGATATTGCCATAGCAAATCTTAAGAGAATTCTCCACAGATGACATGTTATAATAGTAAATAATATTTGTTCCCACACCCCATAAAATTAAACTGTTTCACTCTGATTTGATCATCACAAAGTATACCTGAGCAGGTAACTCCAAATGTGCAAATGTAGAGGGACCACAAACTAGTCACACAGTTCCTGTGGAAATCAGTGGAGTTCTCAAAGGCTTATAATGGAGAGGACATGGGTGAATCCAAGGATTTTAGGCTTGTGCAATGGAACTCCCCACACACCCCGACTCCCCAAATCTACTCCAAAGGATTGGGGGGGGGGGGAGTTCACTGCAAAAGTGTAAATCAGCACACTAACTTAATGAGACACTTAGCACTACTTAGGATACAAGCCATAGAAATAACAATCTAGCACTAAAGTCACACTCACACCAAGGAAAGATTAAAAAGAACACATACTCTTCACAACAAATGCTCAAATTCCTACTCCAAATGGCCCAGATCCATTTCACTCCATAGCAGTACAAAGAAAAATCCCAGGAAAATCTCAAACTGCAAATGCCACTCAAGCAAATTCTGATACCGCGTTTCGTATGTAACTTGCACACACCCCACATTGCCACCCAGTGCCAGCTAAAACACTTTGATGCCCGAGGCAGAAAATTCAACTGGCAAAGCTGACAGGCACTAAACAGAGCCACAAATGTGGTGAAAAGGGACATCTAACTACCCATTAGCATTTCCTGCCACAAGACCAAGCAGAACCAGATCTTATAGCAAACTTGTCCAAAAATAATCTCACTCTGCCAGCGGGAAATATACAGATAGGTGCCTCAGCAGCCTGACAAATAATGGACAATTTCAGACAAATTCTCCCCACCACACTCCATACTCTGTTTATGAGTAGCCAAGAGGTACGTGGGTAAATTCATACTGCTCAGATGAAGGCACCACTGCCATTTTGCATTGGAAAACATGCTGCAACATTTCCACAGTAGTTTCTCACACAGAAAACAAGTTTCCTATGCAATAGTAATTTCTGTGTTGGAAATTGTGCACACTTGGTGTTTTATTTGCCACGCTTAGAGCCACACCTTTTAGCATTTTACTCTGTGTGCCGATTTTGAAGTCATCGGTGTAGCACACTGGGGACTACAACATGGCCCTAATGATTGGGCATACTGACTGGAGCTGATGAGACTGAGTCCAACAACTGCCTTTGCAAAACTACCCAATTGTCAAGAATTATTAGAAAAATAACAATGCTTTTAAGATTTTGGCAAGAACAGTTTGTTCTTCTTAGCGAAGTTCTATATCAGAAAGAAAGGCAGAAAATTACTTCTAAACTAAACACTCAAAACTGGCAAGTCCCATTTTGCATATTACACAGAAGTCTCGACATACCAAGGTCCTCCAGGAAGAAAGATGTTCTTTTCTCCTGAAAAGCCAGCTGCTTAGACTTTCTTCATAACTTGACAAGATGTTAGTTTCACATAAGCACACAAAAGCAGAATTGTCCAACTAGCCTAAGAAATCTAAGTGTGTCATGGGACCTAAGGGACTGCATGCATATCAAAAACCTATATTGACTTCAAATGACAGGTTCTGGAAGTAAAGAAATTAATATAATGTTTCATGTGGTTAATAGTGAAATCAATCTGAGGGTTTCATAAAGAACTTTCTGTGGTACTAAGAAGATCTACGATCAGTAGCATCAAGTCATTTAGCTAATGCAAAGTGGAGATACAATATCAACATTCATATTTAATATGTTCCACTTGAAACACACATGGCTGAAACCATATTCAAACAATGAAGGTTCTGTTCCCTCAGTATTACTATACTAAAGTTTTACATGTAATATATACAGTCACTGCTGCAGAGCAAGGATGCCCAACATGCATACTCCGCATCACTTGTCTCTTAAGATTCGCCATGCAAGATCTTGAGAGCCTGAGTTGTGATTTAGACAATCTCCACTGGTGATACTTAAACAGTCAAACACACCAGCTTCCCAGGTACCCAATCACAACTCTCAGTGGGTGATAACCAAGTCATATTCAGAGAAGACCGTTTGAAATCAATGGGCTTAAGATGTGCAAGTACATTTAGTTTAACAGACATACTTTGAGTAGTGACTAACACTGAATATCACCCATTAATTTCAATGGGATTGGCTCAGGAAAATCTACCTCGTCCAGCACTGAGTGTCCAACACTGGCCATCAAATTTAATTTCTAAAGGGTTTAAACTTTCATCCTTACAGATACCAGGGCATTGTGCAAAATGCATGACTAAACTCGTCATACCTAGATAAAATACAGTAATAACAAATCAATCAATAAAATAGTCTGTGAAGCAGCTAAAAAAAACGCTAGAGCTAATTAATAGCATAACAACACTTAAAATGTCTGAGTAAATAATAATAAAAAGGTTTTCACCTGGTACTGAAAGGATTATATTGTCAAGCACCAGTTGTAATCTATGGGGAGGGTATTCAGGGTGCCACCACAGAGGAGGTTTTCTCCCTTGTTACCACATAATGTTCCTCTGCTGGCAAATATACTCATACGACAGCGTTTTACAAGCACTCATTGCTTGGCAGCAAAATGACTCAGGTGTAACTGTTCAATTCTGAAACTGCCAGCACAAATGAACAAGACAGGGCATCATCAGAGCCATTACACTGGTGATGCAATGATGTTAACTCTCACACAGCAGCTGCACACATCATCAAAATGGTTTATAACAGGGATGCAAGAGGTTCAAAAGGGACAAATGTTTTTTCAATGATGATAGCTAGCTAGCTTAGGATTTCCAAGTTCATAGATTTGGCAGTAGTGCACAGTACAGACTGATACTGAATAGGGAGAGCAGTATGCATCTAAACAGGCTTACAGGACCTTGCACCCCCAATATGGGTTCATTCCTGAATAAAATTGAGCATCTAAAAGGAAGTGCAGATGTTCTACACCCATCAGGCACTACTGACATAACATGAGAGTCTCCAATAGGGAAGTGGTAGACAACTCATTTGTGCTCTTTGTATTAAAGAAGAGAAGTTCTATGCAGCTCAGAGTGTAGACCAAAAGATGCGGGGGGGTTTTTGGGGGGTGTTAAAATATATACACAGTTGGCATTCACATTAAAACACAGAAAAAAGTAAAATAGGCAGTGGAGTGTTGGCTTCTTGAAAGAGAAATAAAAGACGTCAGGAAGACTTTGACGTTGTTCATGTGAATATGACAATTCATGTAGTCACATTGAAGACAGCACATAAAACATGCCATAAGCCATAAATCTTAAGTAACGCATCTGAGCTCTTTATGCTTCTAGAATGAATTGCTTACTTCCTTTATCAACAGAATTATTTCCATCAGTGTTCTAGATTTATCTCAAATAGCTACTCACAAAACAGGAAAAGTAAATATTCCTCATATTCTGATTGTTTGTATAATATTGAAATATTGCATCACAATAGCTGCAATATTTGGTTTAAAGTCCCTGCTTGGAAACAGAGAATCTCAACTTTCACTTAATCAAAAAGTGTTTAAATCATGAAATTGCTGAGAACATCCGTAAAAGACTAGAGTGCCTTTAGCAACACAGAAACTAAATATACAAATCTTCGTACCATGCCTGACTCATAGTTTCTGTGCAGTTGAGGTTGACAGCACAGTATCAATATGAAACTAGTCTATACCAAAAAACCTCATATACCATACAAAGCTGTACTATGCAATGTAAACAGAATTCTGTCAAATATGTATTTTTTTATCAACAAACAGATGTTTACTGCCCTATTCCAGCACAGATGTATCAAAGATGTGAATATACATTTCTTCAGAAAAAGTTGAGAAAGTTTTCCTCAATCTTTGCAGATACATATCTTTGCAGATACATAATGAATCCAAGTTAGCCCTACCCGCATTTTAAAAAAAATGTCAAAAAAAGATTTTGCAGCATATATCCAGCTACCTTAAATTACTTACTTCTCTTCATAGAGTCACACTTTTAACAACATCCCGAGGCTTCTGGAAGCAGCCACGAACTGCTGCGGGAACTAACAACTCACACTTCTTGTTAAGTTCTAAAGGACTTTTTCTCTGCAAACGCTACTTGAAACCAACCTTAAAGCACAATGATGATAGTGTAAGGCGGCTCAAAATCACCACCACTTCAGCAATATTGTTTGGGGGAAAACTATTTTCTCTTCTCCCGTTTCTTTAGGGTTCTTTTCTTAGTCTATGTGTCAAATTGAAAACTTGTTTAAATGCCAGTCGTCACTGATTTGTTAAAATCTATTCAAGCCTTCATAAATGCCCACATCTTTTTTATAGATTCTCCCACACAACTTAACACAAGCAAGTTCTCACATCAAGGCCAGAACTTAGAATGTTAGATATCACTAGCAACAAAGCCAGTTCAACTAAGTGCTTCATTATTCTAAGCCGTATGCACCCAGAATTGCAGCAAGATTCCTAGTTTCACAACATTCGATTACAGACCAAGTCCCAGACACAACCTATTATTATTTGTTTCCAGAGCTATAGAGACATATATTTCAAATAACACATCACTAAGCATATCAATCCCATCCCAAATTCACAACTAAGAAACCATTCAATTTTCTTTAGAATATGGAAGTCTTAAAATAGGTAAGAAAAGCATTGCATTTTTTTTTCTTTGCAGGCTAAATATGGATGAATATTAAGGCAAGCTGAGCAAACCACTTGCAGGGAGTAACCCACTTTCCGCCTCACACCATCTCCTCCCTGATTTTCTCCACAGAATAGCGCAGAATGAACAAGAAATAGCAGGAGAGTTGGCTGAGAGGTCATTTAGCTGCCTGTGGAGCAAGCAAAACCGTTGGCTGTTTCCAGCTGCCAGCACATGTTGGACTGGAGTCAGAAGGACCTCTAGTGAACTCCAGGAAGTGTAGCAGCAGCATCCCAGGAGTGGGAAAGGAAAACACTGCAACAACTATATTTGATGCAAGCTGCATTCCATTAAAATCAGTTGAAGTTCCTTTATTGGAACAGTGATAAATACACATTTATTAGAGATGCTGCCGAAACTCACAATTAGTCAGTTCATATCTCAAATCTACTATGTTCAAACCTCCTATATAGCAAAGACCTGACTTTGATCAAACATACAAAATATTAAAGTAATTCCAAGCAAGATTATGAGTTATATTGTTTTCTGCACCTGCAAAGTCTGCATGTATGGGATGGATGGGGTGGGTGTCCTAGTAAGCTTACAATAATGCAAGGTAGCTCAAAGAAGCTTTAACCTTTAAAATAAACTTAATGGTAAAAGCTACAATGCTCATGCAGTGTTGTTTCCAGTACAAAAGATATTAATTATGGGGTGTTTTTTCAAAGTCAGTCATGCTCAGTGTAGACCCGCTGAAAATAGTGCACTGAAGTTAGTAATGACTATTAATTTCAAAGGGTCTACTCAGAGCATGACTAATGCTGGCTGCAATCCAATTGCTGCCCCCATGGCAAGGGTTATTTCCAGCCCCATCTTGAAAGCACACAGCAGGAGCAAGAGCACTTCCTTAGCCTCTTAAAGGCCTTTACCTTTAAGAAGAGTTTTAAAATATACTGTAAAGGGGAGGAAAGACTAAAGCACCTTTGGACAATATCATGCTACAAGTTTAAATCTGAAGAAAATAGGGGTGGTATTCAACTATGTTTTACTCAGGCTGAAATTAATGAGCCTAATTTAGTAATGCTCATTCATTTCAATAGGCCTACTCTAGAGTAAAATTAGTTGACTAGCACCCAAGATTTCAAAGGAGTAACAGAATGTGTAACTCATGCAAGCAAATTACGACACTGTCGATTCACCCACTATTTATTTAAATTAATTTTTATATAAAAATAAACACCCAGTAGAAAAAAATCATATGTAAGAACACCTGCATGTACATGATGCAGCCAAAAAGAAATCAAACAGCTTGCTTAAACAATATGAATGCCCATCATTAGATTTTTTTGAAGAGCCTTCTTAGTAGCTGCTCCCAGACTTCGGAAATCTCTTCCTAGAGATGTTAAGACTGGTTCCCTCCTTGTTGTCTTTCCACCGGCATATGAAGACCTTTTTATTCCAACAGACCTTTAGGGAATGACTGTTTTTAAAGAAAGGTCTGGTGCTGTGATGTTCATATTGTTGTCGTTATTCTTATTTTTATAAGGTTTGTTTTTATATGGTTTGAATATTATTAGTGACTAAATGCTTTAAAATGATTGTATTTTCTGTTTATCGCTTTTCTATTTTATCTGTGTTTTGTATTTTTATTTGTAAGCCACCCTGAATCACAATCCAGGACAAAAGCAGGATTAAATTTTATTTGTTTGTTATAATAATAAAAACACTACCTAAAGGGCTGTCCATGCTGCTGCAGTCATTTAGACCTTTCTTCTCACTAAAGTGATACAGCTGTGTCTAGCCTGTTTGACTTAAGGTTGAAGGTAGAGAGTAGCTCACATAACTATGCCTCCACACAAAGAAGAAATTGCTCCAGAGAAAAAAAAACAGGCACTGAGAACAATGAAACCAAGTCTATAACTGGTATGAAGAAGCATGCACATTGGCAATCTGATGTGGTGGTACAGTCTAAACAAAAGGATCATCACATCAAGGACAAGTAAAATAGAATTTAAGATACAACAAGAGCAGTATCATAGTGAAAGTTGTATGTTGGGTTTGAGTTACCTTTTCATGGATTCTAATCTAATTTTCATGGATTTTCATGGATTCTAATCTAAATAAATCACATTTCTGAAGATACCACCCAAATGTAATTCAGATATTAGAAGCCTGAAGTATGTTATCAAGTATGTTATAAGAAAACAAACAAAAAACAAACAAACAAACAAAACAAACACCTCTTCCCCTGGTGAGATGCGGGCACCAGATGTGCACCTTCCTTCTTCAAATGTTACACCAGAACTCCAAAAAGAGGATGCATGAGTCATTCATACTTCTGCCCTCCCTAAAAGGTATTAATCTCAGAATCCACTCAGTTATGACACAGAACTTATACCCTAAAATGTAGTAGCTACACCAGGCATCCCCAAAATCGGCCCTCCAGATGTTTTGGTACTACAATTCCCATCATCCCTGACTACTGGTCCTGTTAGCTAGGGATGATGTGAGTTGTAGTCCCAAAACATCTGGAGGGCTGAGTTTGGGAATGCCTGATCTACACAATCAAGGCCTTAGCTGCTATGGTTCCAGAGAACTTCAACTATATAATGGGTTGAATCCAGAGTTGCCAAGAGCAGAACACCACTAATTGGACTCTTCTATAGGCAGAACAGGAGAGATGACTCTCAACAATTTCTCCTTCCTCTTGTAGCCCCCTCCCAAAAAAATTGTAGCCATCTGGGGTACCATCCAGACCAGTGTGGGAGACCACTGAGGGCAAGTGGATATAGCTGACAATCACCTGCCATCACCACTTCATCCTTTGGGAAGCCTGCTGGAATAGAATGAATTTCAGAAATGAAATGAGCCCTTCTGTTCACAGAATAGCAGCTCTCAAACTGTACTAAGCTGTGCTCGAAAGAATCTTTAGTTGACTTAGTTTTAAGTCAACTTCTAGGAAGATGAGATTATGTTTGGAATGGTGTCCATTTCATGAATCTCTAAAAGAATTAAAGAGCAAGATTTTTTTCCTTTCTCAAACACAAAGGAAATGCTATATATGGGAGTATAATTTAGGATAAACAACAATATCTCACAGCAATCTAAAGATCTCTGAAGACTGCATATTCTGTCCAAACCAAGCATTCTCTTCTGGTGAGCTTGTGAAACTTGCAATCATCTCAAAATAAATAAATAAATAAATAAATAAAGCTAAAAGGGCCTTAGAGGGCATTTTACTATTTGTTTTAACCCATTTTTTATTCCACCTGTCACTCTTTTTTTATTTCAGGGCAATGTAACTAATACCAAAAAAAAGTGAATAAAATCCATAAAAATGCTTTGCGCATTTGTAACCACTGTGTACATATTTTTGTACTGCAATGGCCTATATCTGAGTTTACTGTTCAAACAGACTGTTTAACATGCAGTTTTGTCTCCTTTTCACAAATACTATACTTTTTAAAATTGACATATAAACAAATTGACTTCTACTGAAAACAAGTAAAACTTAAAATCAACTTTCACCTGGAATATGAAGAAAGGGAAGTGGTTACATAAACTGCACAACACAGAAATTTCCCCTCCCCTTCATCACTGTAAACTGAGATGTAAACTTTGCCTGAAGCTACAAAAAGAAAAACCTCCACAAGCTAGTAGTGAAGAGAAGAAGCCATATACAAAGTGAAATCTCTGCTATGCATACGGTCATCATAAAAGGCCATAGGCTTAAGCTTCAGAACCCAGATTTCTTGCCGTAGCAGGTGTGCTGCTAGCTTGCCTAGTGAATTCTGAATGTTTCATTCTGCATGATCTGTCATGCATACATGGCAAACAACAATCAGGAGCAACCCTTATTGTCAAAGCAGCACTACTTACAAAAAGATATCTAGCTGCAGACAGGAAAAATCTAAGAATAACCAAAATGTGCACTACCTCCATCTGAAATGCAGGTCTGTCACACCACACTTTTTGGATACCTGAAGCCACCTGAAAATTTGGATACCGGAAGCCACCAAGTCATGGCCAGTTTGCACATCTTAGCTACAGATCACATATTGCTAAGAAACTGATAAGTGACTCTGCCACACCTTCACAAACACATACAAATGGTTCAGCTAGCAGTTCACATTCATGCCCACAGCAAGAAGGAAAAAGGAAGGTGGCGGGGAGACAAATGTATGACTTGCAGCATGATATAAGGTTCCAGATGGATAGACCTTATAGAAGTTGCAGAAGCAAGGTAGATGCAGCAACTCCAAGCACAATCACCACAGGCAGTTGGGATCATAGCCTTTTGATGTGCATAGGATACTGGGCATATTCTCGCCTCCTACTCTATTCTAAGTACAGTGGTACCTCGGGTTAAGAACTTAATTCATTCTGGAGGTCTGTTCTTAACCTGAAACTGTTCTTAACCTGAAGCACCACTTTAGCTAATGGGGCCTCCCGCTGCCGCCGGAGCACAATTTCTGTTCTCATCCTGAAGCAAAGTTCTTAACCTGAGGTACTATTTCTGGGTTAGCGGAGTCTGTAACCTGAAGCGTATGTATCCTGAAGCGTATGTAACCCGAGGTACCACTGTACATGTGAAGGAGGCAGAAGCGGCACCAAAGAAGAACTTAATCTCCCTTGGTAGTCTTCACGTACCAATGAAGGACTGTGCTAATGCATCAGCACAATAGCAGCAGCAGCATAAATCTATTGCTTGGAAAAAGGAATGCAGGAACTATATAAACTCTTTTGCTCAGGACAAGATTCAAGCAGCAATCCCATTTATACTAACAGAGGTATACATTCCATTGGCTCCTTAGGTCTGTGCAACATGTGCAGGATTGTGCTACAATACCACTGATATATAAGCTGAACACATCTGTGTAGCAATCAAATATCAGCCAAGTCACCAGGAATACCAGGTGGCATCTCTGGGTAGCTGCTCCAGGACTCTGGAATTCTTTTCCCTCAGGAGGCTGTTAAATCCTCCTGTCCATCTGCCACAAAAATGTTCAGACTTTTGGGCTGGGTTGCCATTTAGGAGGAGAGGTTAAGCAGGTAATCCATATATTATAAAACTAATGTTTTGACATTTTCATCAATTGTAGTCACATTCCCTGGTTCCTCAATATATATAGAAATAAAATCTAAATAAATAAGAAGTCCAGAGTAGCACCCATTTCTGGTAAAACTGTTTACTTAAATAATGACGCCATCTACCCTCCCAATGTTCCAAGCAAGGTGGGCTCCCTCTCCTCAAATTGCCACTGCTGGGCTTCTCAGGAACCACACTGCCCTGAAAGGAGGAGAGATCTAGCTTTCAAAAAAGTTCTCCATAACAGCATCGCTTTGCTGTTCTATTGTATAGTTTTAGTAGATGCTTTTTGCTTTCATGCTTTTATGTAAAAATGTTTTGTGAAGTTTGGATGAAAAACAGTATATAAATTCCTTAAAATAAACACCAGTGATATGTTGCTAGAAGCATTGTTTATTTACATGCTTGCCTTCCAATAGTGTACAAAGTCCCTTTTCACATTTTAACTTCATTCTTTCCTAGGCTTACCACCTCTCCCCACCCAACCCTGCAGCTTCTCTGTACAGTATTTAAACAGCTATGGATGGAGATTAAACAAGTCAGCTCTCCCCCACCACTTGATCTCCAAACTAGGGAAAGAAGCATTGTTCCTCTGTTGAATTTCTACCATCATACAACTGTTAAAAGGCAACAAAGCCTCTTACGTTGTGCAGAAATGGTAACAACTATTCTGTACAGTTCAGCAGTAATTTTATAAAACAAGTTACAAGCATATTGCACACAAATTCTGCTTTATCGTAGAACTGGACTTCAAGGATCACATAGTCCAATCCCCTACAATGCAAGTATCTCAACTAAAACCTCCATGACAGATGACCATGCAACCTCTGCTTAAAAACCTCCAATGAAGGAGAATCCACCACCTTTATTAATGTCATCACCTTATCACCTAATCAATAGGCTGCATAGGTATTTTCCCAAGTGTGTTGAATGTTCTACATTTCCAGCTAAGCTGGAAAATTAAGCTCCAATACGTTTTAAAATATCAAAGCAGTAAGAGGCTATAGCAAACAAGGGATTTTTCTCCCTTCTAGATTCTGATTGGTGGAATTTTCAGGAAGTGCCTTCAGTTTCCATGGTAAAAATGGGAAGATAAACATGCCTGCAATATTGAGCTAAACCATTTTAAAAGGTATATACGCACTTGGCAGTATACTAACTTAAGAGCACGTCTGTGCTTCAAGCTTTTGATAATCACTGGTTCAATGATATACAACACAAAATTAGACCACAAAAAGTATCATTAAAAAGGAGCATTTGTTTCTCCCCCCTCCCAAGCTACCTCAGCACTCAAAAGAAGAAACAACCCACCATGCTGAAGCATATTGCACAGGGTGGACTTAATAGCTTCTGCGGCCCCCCGCCCCTTCCCTCATCTAAGTCAGACAGACATGGGTAACTGGTGGCCTGCCAGATGCTGCTGCACTCCAACTCCCATCATCCCAGACCATTTGGTCATGCTGAAGACCCTCCAACTGGAGGGTCACCCATCCTTGCTTTAAGTGATCTGTACATCCCACTGGGAGAATTTGCACATTTAACACAAAACTGTGAGGATAAGCTATTGTATGCTGCAAGGACAGCAGTTTTTTTACTTCCATTGTAGGTTAACCAGCTAGCATTACATCTGAACATCTAAACTGATGTTAATTTCAATCATAATTGAAAGGGGCATCAAAGGTAACCTAGCCCAACTCCCTGTCATTGCAAGAAGTTCATACCACAGTATCTGAAATGGATGGTTTGAATTTGGCTTGTTCCAGCAAACCATAGTTAATATTAACCAGTTTTTCAGGTTTAGGTGACATGGCAAGCCAGCCTGCAGTTTATCTCAAATGGAAATGAAAGCTTCCAAACTCCTCTTCACAGTTGTGTCAGAGGGGGGAGGGGACCACAAAGGCTTGAAACTCACCTAGGCTTGTTCAAGGAACACTAAACTACGTCTAAACATTACATCTGAAGCAGCCCATCATCAGTGTGAGGGTTCAAGTTTGTTTCATAGTGAACACTGCAGTCTCTTAATTTTAGACTTGGTTAGACATGGGGCTGCCAATACCAATCGCCTGCACTTTTCAGTATTCACTTATTCCAAACCTTGCAGTTTACAGGTAATCTAACCTTTTGAACACCTGAAAACCAGATATGCAGTGAGAAGCCAATTCCAGTCACTGCATGCCTGGCACCAGCAATTGGCCAGAACAGGTCCCAGTGGCTCCTCACTGGTCCAAGCCATTTGCATCACCATTCATGGCCCTCTCCCCGATGCTTTTCAGCAGTGAGTAGTAGTGCTGCCTTTGAACAGGAGCCAAACTTGGCTCCCATCCATGGTGACTGTCCATCATTTTAAGTCATGCAAAATGCAACGCCCTGGCACATAGGTTTATGGCATTATAATTTCACAGATCTGTAATCCACATGGGACACCAAAAGATTCCATTGATCTATAGGCAGAGGAATTGCATTTCGGATAAGTTAAGATGGCAGATGGCCACCATGGATGGAAGCTGGTGTAGCTTCCAGTCAAGAGTGCCACTGCTTGTGTATTCCTGAAAAATGTCTAGTGCCTTGTGGAGGGTGATGACTGACATGCAGATGCGACCTTCCTGCGCTTCTAAGCAATGGCTGAAAAAAGCATAGGCAGCAGGTTAGATGTTTTGATGACAATCTTCAACTTAGGACCAAGTTACATAGGACGCTAAGCACATCATTTACAGTTTTCTGCATGTTTTTAAAACAGTGACTAAGAGGTACGGTGGAGGGGCGGGGGCTGATGAGGATGTGCTGGAGGGAGCATTTCCACCACTACTGCAGTCCAGTGAAAGTCTCCCCACCCCACTACTATTTGCTCCAGTAAAAAAGTTTCCATTAGCATCAATGAAAGCTTCACTTCCAGGATCAATACTAAGCAGACAGGAGCAACACTCATCGGGACTGTGCCAGAGGAAACTGTTCAACCCCCTTCCAGCACACCACAGTGCCAATCCTGATCACCCCTACTCCATAGTTGTTTAGTATTGTAAAAACATTCATGTTACAAGTGGCACATTTAGCGTCATGTGCAGCTTGGCCCTTACTTCTTCCAGAGTAGCCTCACTGCAATTACAGGACTACTCTAAAAGGGTGTAAAGATCATAGTGCCGCTTAATATACAGTAACTTCCTGATTTACTGGAAAATATCCCAGAAAAGCAGTTTCTTTTTGACTTCTTGGCGTACTATTCCTATTGCATATACAGGGTGTGTGTAATCCCTAGCATTTATTTAACACTTCAGAGTACTCCAAACATTTTACATACAATTGCCTCAGTAAATTTGTCAAACCACACTGTTATATTGTCCCTATACCACAGATAGCATGCCTCTCAGTCCCAACTACTGGAGAGCACAAGTGGAGAGACTGTTGTTTCATCTGTCCTGATTCTGGGCTTCAACAGGCATTTGGTTGGCCACTGTGGGTAACAGCATGCCAGATAGGCAACTGGTCTGACCCAACATGGCTATTCTTGTGTGCTTATGTAATTTGCAAAAGACTACCTAGTAAGTTCATGGCAAAGGAAAGATCTGAGCTAGTGAACCTCATGGCTCACAGTTCAGTCTCTCAGCCACTACACTGCACTAACTGACCCCCTTTCAGAGTTCGTATAAGGCCAAACACACACACAAAAATGCAAGCTTCACTGGCAGGCTGAATTCAGAACACAAGTGGAAATGTTTCTTACCATGGTCTAGCTTACCCATTGCGCTTAGATAATGACTGAAGGCTTGACACGGGGGACTCGGAGTCTGTGTGGCCTTGTCGCAACTCATAGGTGCAGGACTCCTGTCGGTGTCAAAAGAGAAATACCCACTGGAGGATCTGGACAGCAGTGGGGATCTTCTTACAAATATGAACAACGGGGATCTGGTAGCAAACGGACTGGGGCTGGAGGGTGGTGCCAGTGGTCCCTGAGGGCTACTGGGTGATGAAGTGTCCCGCTCGCCCGAATGATTACCTTGGTACACAGTTTGTAAGGAGGTAGGGGCCCCAGGCCGAAGATGCTGAGCTGGCCTTTCAGCAGGCTGCAATTGTCCACCCTCTCTACCGCACTCAGAAGTTAAATCAGAAGATTGTTTTGCCATTGGGCCTTTTATTTGTGTTCTCCCCCTGGAAAATAAGAGGAGAAAAAGAGAAAGGCAACTGAAATTACACATAATGTTCACCCAAGACTAGGTTAATAGTGGTGGAATTGCAGTGCAGTCATTAAGAAATACAATACAAATACAAACCACTGTGTGTTTTCCATCCCCTTTTCATGTACAAATTAACCAGCATGCCAGAATTAAAAGTAAAAGTGAGCACTGTTGAAGATGTCAACCTGTATTATCCAGTCCAACGTCATTCACAAAAAAAGCTTCTCCTGGTGAAAAGAAAAACAAGTACAACAAAAGTTGGAAGACAAAACTTGCTAGCCAGCTGAGCAAGCATTCCAAGTTTGATTGTGGGGGAGGGGGGAGGTGGTTCAACTGGCTAAGAAAAGAAAGAAAAAGGAATATTAACTTGGATCACCAATCCTCTCCAAGTCGTTAGACAGGAGGATCAGATACAGTGTTGAAATGTTAAGTGAGCAGTCGATGCCGTGATTGTGCAGGACAGGGAAGTCGGCCAGGCTCTCTCTCCATTGTTCTACTGAATATGCTGATCACAGCAAGTCTGGAAGGTTTGGCAAGAGCAATCAGTTGTAAAAGTGCGTCACAACAATAGCGTTTGTACACTGCAAAGTGCTCCTCCGTTCACTCCTCCCCTCCCCTCATCCTTTCTACGGCTGGTTCGCCACCACCAAATCCTTCTCTCTGCTATAGGGCTAAGAAAAAGACGCAAGGAAACGTTTCACTTCGAAACCTTTCGAGACGCCACGGCGACTCTTATTTACATTTTGTTTCGGTCGATGGCAAAAGGGAACAGCAAGAAACGAACCACAGTCGGTCACTCCGGCAGGGAGAAAAGAGGAGACACCACCACCCGCTCCAACTCACCTTTATTTACTTTCTTTCCAAAATGTCTAGCGTGACTTGACTAAGCGCTCCATCGTTGCCCGATTGAGAGGCAACCAACAACAGGTTGAAGAAAAATGTCAATTTAAAGACACGCATACAAAAAGTTCGAAAAACCATCACAAGCACGGAACAAAAAGGTGGGGAGTAGTGGGAAAAATAGCCATGCAAAGGCAAAGCCTGGGAAGAGGCTTTGGGGGGAGGGGAGCAGGAGAGAGGGAGGTGGGGGCAACACCCGCGCTGTGACTTGAAAATAAATTCAACTGCAAGCTCAAGTCGCTTCTCCTCGGTCTGAAGAGTGCTCGTTGGGAAACGACACCGGGCGGCAGCCCGACCGGGAACGTGGAGGACAAATCCCTTCCCGCTATGAAACCCAACAAAGGGAGAGCGAGCTCAAGGCAGGAGAATAACAGACCCAGAGACGGGCAAACACAAAAAGGGGGAGGGGATAAGAAGAAGGGGTGGAGACACAGGCACGCACACCGAGAGACCCCGGCCCACAAGCCCATCCCACACACACACACTCGCAAACGCACCCATCCCCCGGCCGCTACTTACGCTTTATGGCGTCTGAGTCATCTCGAGGCAAACCCGAAACTTCCCCTAGGCTGACCCTGCTCCTCCTCCGCGAAGGCAGAGGCGAAGAGGGCGACGCGCACAAACATATACACACGCCGCGCGCGCGAGCCGGGAGAACAAGCTCTCCGCCGCTGCTGCCGCTGCTCCCGCCGCACGCACAAAACACAGCCCGCCAGGAGGGCACTGCCGCGCTCTGACCGCTTCTCCAAACACAGGGCTAGGCGCCCGCCCAGTCGCCACTGTAAAAACATTCGCCGAGGATTCGAGGCCAATCCGGAGCGGCAGGGCGGTCGCGCTCCGCCCACCTCAGCGCGAGGGTTGTGTTTACAAACTCGGCCAGAGAGAGGGAGGGAGAGGCGCGGGCGCGCGCGCACAGCCTGCCACAACCCTGCTCTGCGCCACGGCCCGCCTCCCTCGCTCCCACTCCTCGCCTCCCTCCCTCCTCGCATGTCCTCAGGAGCTTCCTGGAGCCGCCGCCGCGGCACTGGTGGTGGTGACGATCGAGACGTAGTTCTGCTGCAGGAGCAGCAGCAGCCGCTCTTACGCCCTGGCCCGACGACCCACTTTCCACTTTTGTTTTTAAACGGCGGGGGGTGGGGTGGGGAGAACCCTACAAAGAATGTGGAAGGAACACGCGCGCGCGCGCGCACACACATACCCGAGAAAACCTGGCGACGCATTTACCGCGGCACCAGTTTTTCGAGGAAGAAAGCTTAAGCTTCGTCAGATGCAAAGCCACGGATGCCTCGAGAGGCTGCCCCCACCTCGTCCGAGCTTCACCCAGAAGACTGGACTCCGCCCTGCTTCTGGTTAGCATCCCTACAAACCTACACCCAGAGGCTATTTACTCCCTTAACCGGAGTATCCACGCCCCGTTCTCTCACCCTCAGATCACTGGTTTGAAAAAGAATCTGTTACCAATCCAAGCGCAGGCTCCTCTCGTTCATGGCATGCAATGGCATTTCACCAGCCTTTTCCCTATTTTTTCTTTCCACCCCCCACAACAAATTACACACTGTCTCACCCACACCCTATTCATCCTTACAGCTGGCACCCTTACCAGATCCTTAAACTTAATGGATTGGTGTATATTGTTATTATTTATTAAATTTATATATCACCCTATACCCACAGTTCCCCCCCCCTCTCTCTCTCTCTCTCTCTCTCACACACACACACACACACACACAATTTACCCCCAGCATCACACAGCCACACGCTATTCTCACCACAAATTCTTTATTATTAACAGACCTATCCGGACACACACTTTGTCCCCATTCAGTCAGCAATCCACTCATTTCTGCAAACAGGCCCTCTTGCAACCACAGCAGTCAACCAGTCTCTTCCCCACCCAAAAACTTCCAGTTTAAATGGCATACCTATCAAACCCACAGAAGACCCTATAGGGTGTTCCTTTTCATTCCCTCTACAGCTAGCATCCTCATCCTCAGGTTCCCCTGGCCTCCATAAATTGTCAATTTCCTCTCCCAACCCAGAGCCGGGGGGGGGGGCATGGTTTTTTTGCCTGGGTGAAGCCTTCGGAGGGGCACATTGAGGCTCCCAGCCTGTGTAGTGTGTATGCAAATGTGCATGTAGGGTGCCAAACTGGGTCTTTGACCCAGGTGAAATAAAGCCTACTTTTGCCCCTGCCCAACCCAAGTGTGGCACATGCCTCATTTCTCCATCCAAAATGCCTTCTCCTGTACTGTACATGTAAAGTCCCTCAGTATGTTAGAGTCACCTCATTCTCTGTGCACACAATATGAAGTACACACAGCGCTGCAGATCTGCTCCCACAACGTCCTGTCCTCACCACACAATTCTCACAAAACACTGTCTCCAAGCAGTCATCATGCCTTCTTCAGCCCTTGTACTACACCAAATGCTTCCAAAGACTCAAATTTGAGTTCTAATATTCACATTCCCATTCCTCCACAAAGTAAACCCCTATCCATAGCTCAAATCAACCAGAACCTTGCAAAAAATGTGTAAAAAAGCATTGTTCAGTTTTGAGTTTGAGAAATCCTGATTTGACTCTTAGTTATAAACCTTGACTTGTCTCAGGTGAGTCACTAATTCTCAGGCTAATCTGCCTCGCAAGATGGTGTTGCTTTAAGGTTCTAGGAAGACGAGTGGGCAGGGATAGAAATGTTAAATATAAAAATGACACCCTACACTTGTTTCACAAACTGGAAGCACCAGCAGCAGTGACAATGCAACCAAGTTTTGCATGCCTTATTGGTAACAGGCCTTTTTTCTTTCATTTTTTACTGGCCTACCTATCCTTGGCTAGCTGCCTGTCCAAACAATCACAGTGCTGATCGGCTATGGGATACTATTAAGTTCTGGTGCCCTCAACCGATTATAACGCAGGCCTTTAAAAAACAACAACCAAGGTTCATTTAGATTGGTTTTTTTTTTTAAAAAAGTCAGATTATAAAAAAAAATAAAATAGTAAGGTTGTAAGCACCTAAGAAGACTGGGGCTAGAGATGAAATAGCACAGGAGACAGTTGTGCAAGAGCAGAAAAGTAGGAGAAATGACTGCGTGCAGTGTTGAGCTGGGCAGGGAGTGGGTAATATACCGTACCAAATTATATAACAAGTGGATATAATTAATACCAGATTAAGGTTCTAAGTAGAGAGAAGGAAGCCGATGCTCTAATAAATGTAGAGAAGGGAGTCCAGGGTTCTTATTTAGTACATTTATATCCTTCATTCTTTCCATCAAGAAACTAAACTGGACATGTGCCCTCATACCTTGCCCTGGAAGGAACTTTCCACATCCTTGCACACCAACATGGTCCTAAATCCAGCTAGCCACCGCCATAGAGTCTGTTCCAAACTTGCACACATGTGTCACCAATAGGGTCCCCTTCCCTCACCCCCACCCATTAGGACCAAATATAAAGTTTCTTGTCTTTCTTTAACTGTCTGGCCCTTTCACTTCCGTCACTCTCCACTCAGTATGTCACAACCCTCTTAAATCCTTCTTCCTCCCCAGAGTCACCTACTGTCCCATTTTATCAATATACTCACCTTCCTTGTCATAACAGCCCAACTTTACATCTAGGCTACCTGGTAGGAGACAAATTTCAGGGTGTTAACATAGATAGATAGATAGATAGATAGATAGATAGATAGATAGATACAGTAGGTAGATAGATAGATTAACAAGAGGCAGGCAGGAAAGGCCCCAAGCCTTTTGATACCTGGGACTGAAAAATCCAAATACAATATTCAAAATACAGCAGTAAATGAAATACTTTGCTCGCACCCACCACCACCATTTCCACCCCAAGGCCGGCTTAAAGAAGTGCAAATGCCTTTGAATAAATAAATAAATAACCACCCCACCCGTCTTTTCCACACCTCAAAAACCACGACCCTTCAGGAACGCTCCTTTCTCTCACCTTTTCTTCACCTTTCTTCCTCCCCGCCCCGCTTTACAGCTTGCCACACTTTTAAATACTTTATTATTATTATTATTATTATTATTATTATTTACAACATCTCCCGCCGCCACCCCCCGGCGCCGCTCGCCTCGGCGTCACCGACCTCTGCCCGTTTTTAAACAGCACCGATTTCTCGAGGTGCGTTTTCCTCACGCCCGGCCTTATTTCTAAACGGCCCGCCGGCCCGGCCCGGCGTGAGGCGCCGGGAGACCGCGCAGAAATGCGTGAGAGGGACGGGACGAGGTAAGGCTGCCGGGCGGCCCTTCTCCTCCTCCTCCTCCTCCGGCATTCTCCCAAGACTGCGGTTAAGGAGAAGACCCGAAGCCGGCCTTTGGGCGCCGCCGGGACTCCCCGCCACTTGCCTGCGGCTGCTGCCTGCCCACGCCGCGCGCGCCTGAAGGGAGGAAAAAGGCGCCTTGGGGCTGCCAGGTCGGCCTGCCGCTCTCGCTCCTGCGCGGGAGGCTTCTTCTGGCGCCAATCACCTGAGGGCGGAGCCGCCCGCGCGCCTGAGGGAGGCCGGAGATATATAGATATAGAAATATATATTTAAGACAGCCGGCATGCAGAACTGATAAGAAGCCGGCGTTGCGTCGATGACAACAACTTCGTCCACTGCCAGGCTCGGGAGGAAGTTGGTGGAAGTTAGCGGGAAACTCTTGCACAACAACCCCGCGCGCCGGCTCCACGTAGGGTGGCGGCGGCGGCGGCGAATCTATCTATCTTTCTTTCTTTCTTTCTTTCCCTCAGGCAGTCGGCGCGAACGAGAAGCAGTTCGCTGGTTTCGAAACCAAGCAGAGTTTCGCCGCGGGCCTTTCGCCTCCTACAGCCAAGAGCCTGATGAGACGGTAGCAAAGCGCTACTCGTTAAGGTGCCTTTAACAGGGGTGAAGTTTCTCTTTCAAAAGCAAACAGAAACGCCGTTCTGTCTGTCGTCAGGTGCTTTTATTTTATTTTATTTTGTATTTTTAACTCTCTCCTCCCAAAGCGCACATAATCTGTTTTAGGGGAAGGAAGGCTCAGATGCGAAGGCAAGCCGAGTATGAAACCAGAGTGGGTGGTAGTTATTCTGGACTGCTTAATTTGAAACAGAAGGGGGTGTGAGATGTTCAGAAGCAAGAAGGAGGTTTGGCAAAAACATCTGGAAGGTGCTCAGACTCAAGACAATGGTTTTTAACAGAGCTGACAAGCGCCGGGATTGGCTTGTGGTCCTCCGCATTTTGTTGCTGGCCTGACATTTTTTCTGCAAGTGACAAGATGGCCCACTGCTTCCATTTCTTTACAAAAGCTGAGCAAACAGGCCCCGTTTGCTCTCCTTTCAACACTAGGGATGGGGGAGCATCCTCCGCTGCATCTGAAGGCAATGTGTTAGATAAAGGCAGAGATCCCCAACCATTTTGGAAATCCATATTCTCAGCCAAATACCCATTTCACAGAAGAAAAACTGGTGATGCTCGGAGCCACCACCCCATCAAAAAAAGAAAAGCAACCCATTGGGTAAAACACTTGCATATAACCCAAATCATAGAAGACAAAGGTGAAGAGCGGGGGGGGGGGGACACACGGACAAACATGGCACCCCTCCCAAAAAACAGGTCATCAAATAAACAAAGCCACTTTAACCCACATTTGGTATCATACCCAATTTGTCATTAACTATATACCATCAACTCTTCAGACTGAACAGATTTTCTATAGGCGGTGATATTTTTCCCAAGTAGTAGGGGCAATCAAGTGTGATTGCTTATTCACAATAGTCATGGGAAGACCATACCATGTGATATTTCTGAATATGTTTTTTGGCTTCAGAATCAGCTTTTGCGGTCTTGATTAAACTGATGACTTCTAGAACATGGCTCAGGCAGATGGTCCCTTGAGATCCACCCACATCATGCATGCCACTGATACCCGTATGATTCTAACCAGACACATTTCTGTTAATTCCATCCCTTGCTTCACACTCACTGGGGGAAAATGTCCTCTCCTTTTGAAATCAATTCCACTGACAATGCTCTCTATAACCTTACTGTTTGTTCTTCTCACTATGCTACATGGTAGTCACCTACCTCTAGTCACCTACCACCCACCTTGATGATCTCCCTTCACCTATCTACAATCTGTTCCATAATTTGAACATGTATCATGCCGTAACCAGAAGCAAACAGCTGGTTCATGAAAGGATAAGACACAGAGATTCCTTTATTAGTAAATGGACAACTTTTCAAAAAAAACATAATGTTTACAACTGACTTCTGAAGAAATCTGTTAATCTTTAACAAAATATTTTAGTCAAAAATGTTTAAAACCAAGATAGAGTATCATCTCGAGTATAATAGATGCTGTACACACTAAATACTGCACTAACAAGACATACTGCATGCAGTTTCCACAAATGATGCTGCTACCTAATAATAATATGAATAACAACTATATATATATATATAACAGAAATAATTTATAATAATATAATAGTAATTTGTATCTTATTTGAATGGCCTATAGTTTAGAGGTTTAGCTGGTTGAAGGCTGAGGCTATATTTGTTCTTAAACTTGTTTCAGCAGAGCTATGCTTGCCTTAGGATATAAAGCAGGATTTAGAACACATTTTCAGAGACCACCTTCATCGGCCCCAGCTGCAACAAAACATGTCTATCCCATATTGGTCTCTACAGCCACAGCAGGCGCTGTAACTCTAATGGTTTGACCTCACCCGCAAAGGTGCACTCCTCCTTTGCCTCCCAAGGTAGATGGATGCCAACCATACTCCTTAACTTTTGTGAATGCGAATATCACTAGTATGCCTCTAGTAATACCAGTCATTGGGGAACAGAAATTGAAGGCTATGGCGGTTGTTGGCCACTGTAATAACAGAATGCGGAACTAAATAGACTTTTGGTCTGATCCAGAATCTATGCTTCTTATGTTCACTCAGGTAGAGCCCATTCTCTCCTTTGCTAGGGAGCTACTGTCCACCTTAGAGAGCAGGCCTACATACTGTCTAGAAAACAGAGTGAAGGAGAAATCCTGAGTTATCATGCCACACAAATATGGTCCGTGTAGAGTGGGGGAAAGTGAGGAAGGTATTCCACTATATAAAGAGTTTGGATTTTTTTTTTTTTTAATATCCCGCCTTTCACTCCCTTTAAGGAGTCTCAAAGTAGCTAACATTCTCCTTTCCCTTCCTCCCCCACAACAAACACTTTGTGAGGTGAGTGGGGCTGAGAGACTTCAAAGAAGTGTGACTGGCCCAAGATCACCCAGCGGCTGCATGTGGAGGAGCGGAGACGCGAACCCAGTTCCCCAGATTACGAGACTACCGCTCTTAACCACTACACCACACTGGGAACAGTACATAAATAATCCATGCCCTTCTTCAGAATGAGACAGTAGGAGAGTAAATAATGCTATTTGCTTTTCAAACACAACCTGTATCAAAGTTAATGTACAAACTACAATAGGAATAGACCTGGCAACCACTTTTCAGGCATGTGGAATTGTACGCTGCAACTGTTTGCTACTACAGCTGAGCAGTGGCTGTGGAATGGGGACTCAATATGAATTCTAGAGGTGCAGGCATGTGGGCTAAGATGACATTTATGGAAAACAAAATGGCAGTCGTTTCCCCATCTGATGTTCAGAACTTGAAAGATTATTTCCCATAAGCACCGATACCCCTAGCTATTGTGAGGTATGTAAAAGTTTGTTGCATTTTCCGCACCAAAGTGACTTCTCTGAGGTGCAAATCTGGGCAGTGTATATGGAGATCCTGGGCTGCCTGCCTCCTTTCAGCCTCGCTGATGTGGTCCAAAGGAAAGCAATGCTATACATTTTGCACCAGCTTGGCTGCAGTAGTAGCTGCCATCCAACCACCTTAGAGACTCCACTTCAGATGTATGCAGGGTTTACTCCTTAGCCCAGGGGACAGCAAGCTTTACCTCACTTTAGCCGGTTCACTCTAGCGGAGATCCCTCTGTGGGCCGGATTGTGCGCGCGCCTGTGATTTCCGGCGTCTGTGCAGATGCGATTTCCGGCATTTGCGCATGCACAGATGCAATTTCTGGCACCGTGGAAGCAAGTCCCCGTGCCACGCTGCACCAGTTTAGTGCAGTGCGCAGGGACTCGCCGAGTGGGCAGCTCAGTTTGGGGGGTGGCTTGTGGGCTGGTTAAACAAAGAAGAGAAGAACAAGAGTTTGGATTTGATATCCCGCCTTTCACTCCCTTTAAGGAGTCTCAAAGCGGCTAACCTTCTCCTTTCCCTTCCTCCCCCACAACAAACACTCTGTGAGGTGAGTGGGGCTGAGAGACTTCAAAGAAGTGTGACTAGCCCAAGGTCACCCAGCAGCTGCATGTGGAGGAGCGGAGACGCGAACCCGGTTTCCCAGATTACGAGACTACCGCTCTTAACCACTACACAACACTGGCTCTCAAACGACCCACGTGGGCCACGGCTTGTGGCCCATGGGCCTTAGGTTGCCTACCCCTGCCTTAGCCTTTTCTTTTCCTGAAGACGTTCCGCAAGGCAGTGGGTATGGATTTCTCCTTGGGGTTTATTCTTGAAGCCTTTTTCACAATTCGTTCCGGAGGTCCGTACTTAACCTGAAACTGTTCTTAACCTGAAGCACCACTTTAGCTAATGGGGCCTCCCGCCTCCGCCGCGCGATTTCTGTTCTCATCCTGAAGCAAAGTTCTTAACCTGAAGCACTATTTCTGGGTTAGCGGAGTATGTAACCTGAAGCGTATGTAACCCGAGGTTCCGCTGTATAGCTATAAGGCACTGGAGGTTTAGGATCAGAGTTTTCCATCTACATGGGCTACCTTCTCAGGTTGACGAGCCCTATCTGCTCCTCATTTCCCTCTACAGCTCGTGTAGAAACCACCTTCTTGACAGTTGGACCCAGTATTGATCTTGTCTGCTCAGTCTGCCAGAGTCTATCTTCACATGCAGGGGAATCCCTTAACTTACCAAGGGTTTGAGATCCATCCGCTATCCTCACCTGGTTTAGCCAGCCAATCAAAGCTGTTCCCGGGGTGCGACTGCTGTTGCATGCTAACAGCTTCTAGGAGCCACAGATGAGAGGGTGGGGGACCCTCATCAAAGATACTACCCACCCCTAACACCCCAATTTAAAAACAACAACGACAAATTCAAATACATTGGGATTTTTTTGTAATTTAAATTGAACATATAATTGGAACATTGCTCTGAATCTTGTCTTGCCATGAATGACGTTTATTTGCCTTGCTACTAAAATGTGAAATGGGCTAAGTTATGTTTCCGGTTTTCCTAGCTGATTTATTACAATGTTCCAAGATGCCAGTAGATGAATTAATCTCAATTTGGAACACATCCTCTCTGATGAGAAAATAGCCTTTCAATCTGATCTGTGTTTACTCAGATTTTGCCATTTCTTTCAGTTTCAGGTCGTTAGGATTTGAGGAACAAGTAGGATAAATGTTTTCAGTATTGCAGGAATTAAGAGTCCGAATGACCCAAGCTTGGGGCAGGGTGGGCTGAGAAAGATGAGAAAGCTGAAATCCCCTTCAAACCTTCTTCCTCTGTAAAATCCCCAATTGGGAGTTGCTACAGACTCATTAGTAAGCATTTGTTCCCAACAATCCTGAGTCAAACTGGATTGCTTGCTTAAGTTTCTCCAAAAGCCTGTCATAACTGCCTTCATTCTGCTTTCTAGGATGCCACTAGCCAGCACTATTGCACTCAACCAGAAACAAAGCCCCTTTTGACCCTGCAAAAATGTATAATGTGGCACAGGAGAAACCTGTGCCCCACATTCAGTGCTTTTCAGAATAATCCTATGCATGTTTATTATTTATTTCTTTAAGGGTTGCCAGAAGGCAACTCTCTATCTCGACGTTTCCCAAACTTGGGTCTCCCGCTGTTTTGGGACTACAATTCCCATCATCCCTGACCACTAGTCCTGCTAGCTAGGGATGATGGGAGTTGTAGTCCAAAAACAGCTGGAGACCCAAGTTTAGGAAATACTGCTCTATCTGAAGGGGTCATCCACTTGAAATTCAAGTATTGCCTTAAGATAAAGAACCACAAGAAAATAACAGGGGCCTGGACATTACCTGCACAACAGACTGAGCCAGGCACACAGGTCGCTTGTTCAGTTTCCCCCACTACGTTGAGATGTATCTCTATTTAAAGGTAAAGGTACCCCTGCCCGTACGGGCCAGTCGTATCCGACTCTAGGATTGTGTGCCCATCTCACTTAAGAGGCCGGGGGCCAGCGCTGTCCAGAGACACTTCCGGGTCACGTGGCCAGCGTGACGAAGCTGCTCTGGTGAGCCGGCACCAGCGCAGCACACAGAAACGCCGTTTACCTTCCCGCTATAAAGCGGTACCTATTTATCTACTTGCACTTAGGGGTGCTTTCGAACTGCTAGGTGGGCAGGAGCTGGGACCGAAAGACGGGAGCTCACCCTGCCGCGGGGATTCGAACCGCCGACCATGTGATCGGCAAGCCCTAGGCGCTGAGGTTTTACCCACAGCGCCACCCGCGTCCCTGTATCTCTATTTAAATTATAGCAATTGCTTCTAAAACTGCATCTATACCTATACACTAGCAAATTCAATGCAAATCATTGTTCTCTTTTGTGGCACTGTGTAAATGGCCACCCTATCCAAAGGAAACGAAACCCAGTTGTGTCACTCCTTGGTTTCCCGCTGTTTGGGGACTGGGGCAGGGAGAAGCCTACGAATATTATTAATGATGTCTTCCTTTTGAGTTCTTAAGCTGCCGTGTTAATATATCAAGCTGATTTGAGGACTACATTCTATTCTTGCTGGCTTTTCTTCACTTGTGAACCAGAGCCAAGGCCTTTTCAACACTGGCTCCAGCATGGTGGAACACTCTGTCTCTTGAGACCAGGGCCCTGCTGGATCTGATGTCTTTCCACAGGGCCTGTAAGACAGAGTTGTTCCGCCTGGCCTTTGGCTTGGATCCCCTGCCCCTCATTCCTTTTTCCTTTCTTGACTTGATCCCCTCCCCCTCATTCCTTTTTCCTTTCTCCTTCTGTGATGGAACTCATATTTGGGGACTTCCCTGGCTTTTTTCTGGCCCACACTGGACCATTCTGGATAGTTGGCCTTGGTGAAGATTTGATGTTTTCATCCCCAAAAGTTTTTGATTTGAGTTTCTACTGAAATGAGGCTACATTTTAATGTTGTATTTTAACCTTGTTTTTAAGTTGTATTTTAATCAATTGTTTTTATACCTGGTGTTAGCCACCCTGAGCCCGGTCTTGGCTGGGTAGGGCGGGGTATAAATAAAATTTATTATTATTATTATTATTATTGTGTATTGAGGTAACCTGTGTTGCTTTTCAGGAGAACAGGAGAACATCAAGTGCATCTGATGAAACAGGGCTTTCCCCATGACTGGCAGAGTGAGGCAGCTGCCCTCAGGCAGAAGATATGGATGAGCAACAGTGAGGTGTTGGAACTGGGTGTGCCACATGACTTGCCCTGCAATCTCCGAACTAATGTGCTGCACTCAAGTGTGCTGGAGGACACTCAGCTACAGAGTGTTGAAGTGAGTTTCCGCTGATGTGCAGGTCAGCTTCAGTATTTGGAACAGAGAGGTGGTGGTGGTGAGAATCTCTGCCACCCCTGTTTGTGGCATTGACAGCTTATATACACAGCAAGGCTAAAATCCTAAACACACTTACCAGGAAGCCACACCATTGGCTACAATGGGAAGAATTGAACATAGCCCTATGGCAATCATTCCAACAGCGGAAGCTTTTCAGCCTGTCAGGTAAAACACACACACACACACCCTTGTGTGCTGGGGATTCTCTTGACCCCCCAGATCCAATTTTTCATGGGCACAAGGGGAATGCCTGGGAGGGGGAAAAGCCATGTTGTGCTTGCAAAAGTAATAAAATCATAGAATTGTGGAGCTGGAAGGGACCCCAATGGTCATCGAGTCCAACGCCCGCAATACAGGAATCACAGTTAAGTCCTTGTGAAGTCTTTTGCTAGTGGGATCAGTTCGTTGATCCCATCCAATGGCACTTACAACTTTTGAGTAAGTAATGCATAGGATTGCACTCGCATCAGTTACTTTTTCAAGTGCTTAATTTCCCTTCATTTCCCACCTCTCCTCCAAGGGTCTCAAGGTGGGCTACATGGTTCTTTTCTTCATGCTAACCCCGCCCCCCAACAACAACCCCATGAGGTCGGTTAGGCCAAGAGACAGTGAGTGGCCCAAGGTAACCCAGTGAGCATTGTAGTCAAGTGGAAATTTGAACACTGGTCTCCCAGCGCTCTAACCACTACACCACACTGGCTCTCCACTGGCACCTTGGGGGTTGTTTTTTTCCTGGCAGGATACCCGTGCTTCTAAAGCTGCAGGACCTTGCACTTTTAAAAGTGCCTTTCTCTCTTTCCAAAAATGCACGTACTTTTGCTGACACCTTTCTACAGATCACATTTATTTTAAGAAATACACATTGCAATAATTGCCTCCTTTGTGCTATGTTTTCTGTGCTGGATTTTTGCAAGGACTGTTTTGTCATTTGCAGATTTCAGAAAGTACCGAAGTATAACATCATCATCATTATTTTTTGCATGGCTGTTTTTGTCATGTGCCAAGTGAGTGGTTATTTTGTGTGTGTGTGTTGGGCAGGGGAGAGCTCGGATTCTGCATCCCATGGTGAGGCTCATTCATTGATTTGTGTGGGAATGGAGCACGGTCAGCTTCTCCCATAAGGAATTCAGCATCTGGCTGGGATGAACCCATATAGATCCAATTCTTTGTGTTGCTTTTAAAAGCCATGCCATGAGAGAGCGCTTATGTGGCTTAAAAGAGCAATGACTCACCCCTCTCCCCCTCCTGGTTCCCATGAAGTCAGAAGTCACTTCTGGTGCTAATATTGACAACTGAAAAGAGAAAAGGGCCAGCGAACAAAGCTCACATGACTGCAATGGACTCTAGGTACACTGAGAAAATTCACACACAGATGCCTATGCTGCATGCTGCTTTGTCTTCCCTGATTCCCAAGAGAGCTGGGCATTTATTACAACAGGCCTCCAAGGTATCAGCTACACAAGCTTTGCTCCATTTGCAGCATTATTTTGGTGCCTCTTGGGACTGCATCCATCCCTGTATTCAAGTAAACAGACCCATCAGCAATTTTCTTCTTCTTCTTCTGGAGACTGATCCTACAGATAAAGTTCAGCATTGTCACCGGTGCAACAATAGGAAAGAAACCAATTAACATAAGACTAAGGAAAAGACTGGGTTTATTTCACTTGTCCCAGCCATTGTAAAGATAAGCTGAATTGGTTTCTGGGAAATGTATTTACATTTATTTCTATGATTTAGGACTCACTTTTTCTTTATCGGTGTGCCCAAAGTGACATACAAATTAAAGTTTAAAAAAAAAACTTTCTAGAAAAAATAGTAGGACACACACACACAACATTAATAAACCTTAAAATATGACAACAGTTATTGTTTGAGAGACTATTAAATCAACAGTGGCTGGTGAAAGTTTTTCAGAATAAATTTTCCTCTTCCTCTGTTGTTTCTTTCACCTGTATTGAATTTTAGATTGTAAGTTCCTTGAGGCAGGGACTAGTCTTCTTGTATTGTCAGGCAGCCTGTACATGAGTATATATTAAGTAATAATCAATAATGTCTAAAGTTGCAAGGCAAAGAGAAAAGGTGGTAAATTGTTGTTGTCACCAGAATGTCCCAGAGTAGGTTACAACAACAGCATTAAAAAATTTCAAACAAGTTACCGTCACAACTAGAATGTGTTCTATAGATAGATAGATAGATAGATAGGATAGATAGGATATATAGTAGATAGATAGATGATAGATGATAGATAGATAGATAGATAGATAGATAGATAGATAGATAGATAGATAGAGCAAGCATCAAAGCATGGGGTAAAGAGGTGCATCTTCAGCATAACAATGGACAATATGTAACAGCTGAACAATGAAGGTGCCAGACATATCCCTTTGGGGAGGGAATTCAACAAATTAGAGACTGCCGCAGAGAATGCCTTCGTGGTCCCTTCCAACTCTACAATTCTATGATATGATTCTAGGATTATACAAAGTAATAATATAATATAATATAATATAATATAATATAATATAATAATGTTATTGTAACAACACATAAATATGCATGTCTGGAAAAGATACACCTGCTTGATTTCTGGGTGTCAGGCTGTTAAAAGACACAGAAGCACCACGCCAAAAAGGAAACTTAACAACTTTATGTCCCCTCATATTTGTTCACCATTAAATGCCAGGCTACATCAGAACCTGAGGTTGGGAAGAAGCAAATGAGTAGCCAGGCCCATAAAAACAAGATGCATCTGTAAGCTGGAAAGGCATACGCCAGTATTTGCACAACTGCTGCAAAAGCATTTAAAGGACCAAGATGTTAATCTCATTATAAATTGGTTGGTACAGCATTTGGGGTACACAGTTCCACCCTCCCCCCTTTTGCTGAAATTCAAATATATGGCTATGGTGATAAAACTAACTGTAAAGAAAGGTGGCCATTGTTTAACAAAACAACAAATGTGGAATTCTTATCACCGGTTAACAACTTGCTTTTCAACACCTCACTGCGGACTACTGTGCAAATGTTGACCGGCGCATGAAACTTGACAAAAATCCTGACTTATTATCCCTTTTCTGGTCTCCCACCACTGACTCTAAGGTAGGTAAACATTCCTATAAAAACACAGATGTTGAACATTTTTGTTAATGCTATATTTCTGAAATATGGTCTGGACTGGTAATGTTTGCCCAATTAAAAGCACTAAATTATAGCACCACATCAGTGCTAGGAATGTTAACAGCGTGACACAAAAACACAAGGTAGTGCCATGTAATGCCTAACCAAAGCAGTTGAATTCTTGAAAGGAAGTTTTACTAGCTGCTAATTCCAAGTTTCGATTCCTTGCATTTGCTGTTCAAAAATATATATACTAATGAAAATAGGCCTCAAAGAGCCCTCTTCTGCAATGATTTATGCGTTCGGCTAATGTCTCATGCTGTGAGTAAGCTCCTCTGAAACCAATAGGGTTCTTCACAGTGTGTAAAGTTAAGCTTGCATAAATCATTTGCAGAATGAAAAACTGGATAAAGGAGCGCCACTAACTCGGAATGCAAAAGCCTATTGGATATTGTAGTCGATCTAGACGAATATGAAAGTTGGAAGAAAATTGCATTGCAGCTTATCTGCTTGGAACTGGATCAAAAAACAGTCAAGCAGTGGTTGTTCTATATAGAGTACATAACAGCAGCAGTCTACCCCTTGAGGTTGTGGGGTTTAAAATATATATATATATATTCCAGCATTTGTAGCCACCTTTCAGGGCTATCCTTCTCAAGGCAGCTGGAAACACATCAAAACACAACTGATAACAACATATAAGGAGCATGGAGGTTGGGAAAGACCTGCCCACCCTTTCCCTGGCTGCCCTACAACCTTTGCATCCCTGGGTCTTGGCAGAATCCGCAAGGAGGGGGAGAGGCAGCAGCAGCACCTGTGCTCATTTGCTGCCATCTAGCTACTTAAGGGGTGTGGGTGGCACTGTGGGTTAAACCACAGAGCCTAGGACTTGCCAGTCAGAAGGTCAGTGGTTCGAATCCCCGCGACGGGGTGAGCTCCCGTTGCTCAGTCCCTGCTCCTGCCAACCTAGCAGTTCGAAAGCACGTCAAAGTACAAGTAGATAAATAGGTACCACTCCAGCAGGAAGGTAAACGGCGTTTCCGTGCCCTGCTCTGGTTCGCCAGAAGCGGCTTAGTCATGCTGGCCACATGACCTGGAAGCTGTACGCCGGCTCCCTCGGCCAATAAAGCGAGATGAGCGCCGCAACCTCAGAGTCAGCCACGACTGGACCTAATGGTCAGGGGTCCCTTTACCTTTTAGCTACTTAATAAGGACTTGCAGTGCAGCAGGATAACACAGGAAGGGGAGGATCCTTGGGGTCTGTAGTGAGGACATTACCCTTTTCTCTTTGTTTGAATTTGCATTTATGTGAGCGCTATGAGAGCGTGGTGTGTGTGAATTTGATGGACCCTCCTTGGTGAGAGGGAGATCTTGTCAAGAGGGTGTTTTGTTTCCAACTTATCCTCATCTATCTTCTGGTGAGAGCTTACATTAAGGGAGGGCAACCTATGTAGGAACTGGATGCTATCCTAGAAAGCACACTTGCACAATGGGTTGGTGTGTTACCCTACTGTTGGATTCTGTTGTTGGCATGTGCTTTTGGGAAAATAAGATCAGAAAGAGGGTGGAAGGAACTTTAATTCAGGCAGTTACAGGACTGGCGAAATATGGTGTGTGGGTGAGCAGGCAGTTACAAAGGAAGGACAGGGGTTAGGTGTCTACTTATTAACCCTCACCCTTCCTGTGATTCAGTTGTTCTGCCTCTGTAGTCAACAGTCTGGCTGCACTGCCAGGTTGGTTCACAACAAGTCCTTACGGATCCATAATTGGATACTGAATGAGGGAGCCAACCTGGTGTGCGTTCCTGAGACCTGGGTGGAGTGAATCTGGAGGAGGAGACAACAGAGCCTTCAACAACTCTGTGAGGTAAAAGCCCAAGGCCACCCAGTGAGCTTCATGGCTGAGTGGAGATTCAAACCCTGGTCTCCCGGATCCTACTGTAACACTTTAACCACTCCAGCCACCCATCAAAATACTCTGAGGCCACCCAGCCTGGAATGAAGAGAACCATAGCAAGGCATTCCACGAGTACCTGTAGGCTTGTCCACTAGCACGTCATAGTGGCATGCAATGTTGCAAGGTTGTTGTCGCATCAAAAAAGAATCTCATAGGCAGCACCTTTATGACGAACCATGTATTGTGGCATAATCTTCTGTTGGCTTTGTCAGACTCATGATGTGTTATCGTCTAGCGCTCATGCGCACATCGAAGGATAAAAAATGTAAACAGTAGGGTCAGAAGGCCATGCATTGGAGAGAGAGATAGTCTGTGGCCTTTTTCACCAAAGCTCAAGTGTATAAAAGATAAGAAAAGTGACGATCCACCACAGCAGAGGTATTAGTTGTGATCACAATCTTCCTGGCTTTGCTATGCTAATTTAGAGAGCTGGGATGGCAAAGAATAAATTCTAGTAAAATTTTAATAAATTCTAGTTCAGCCATTTGCTTCTGAGTGTTTTTGCAGGGGAACAATAGCAGGAGAGGGCTGTTGACCTCCCTGTGAGCAGGGTTTTGCTCTAATCTTCTGTAACAGCCATCTAAGCTCTTGACCCAGTGGCACTCAGTGGCAAAGAATCCTACACAATGAATACTCAAAGTGAAGAGTATTTTGCCACCAAAGAAGCTACTGTCAGTGAATCTCACGGGTAATTCCAATTTCTAATATTCCGAGAGAGGGAGAAGTGTTTCTATCTATCTGCTTCTCCACACACTGTGCACAATTTTAGACACCTTTATCACTTTTCCATTTGGCTGTCTCCCTCCCCTAAACTAAAAAAGAAAAGAAAAGTCCTATCTAGTAACTTGTCTGAGATATGTAAACAGCTGCCTCATGTGGTGAGCCACAAAACTGCAGGTGGTACTTGGTGAAATGTCCTCAGACCTGGGACTGACTTCACCCACCTAGTGTACCCCTCTTGACCAGAAGAGTGTACACTACAGTGTGGTGTAGTGGTTAAGAGCGGTAGTCTCGTAATCTGGGGAACCGGGTTCGAGTCTCCGCTCCTCCACATGCAGCTGCTGGGTGACCTTGGGCCAGTCACACTTCTCTGAAGTCTCTCAGCCCCACTCACCTCACAGCGTGTTTGTTGTGGGGGAGGAAGGGAAAGGAGAATGTTAGCCGCTTTGAGACTCCTTAAAGGGAGTGAAAGGCGGGATATCAAATCCAAACTCCTCTTCTTCTTCTTCTTCTTCCTGCTCTAGTTGGATGTACTGTTCCAGTAGAAGGCGTTCCTCAATTCTCGTTGTCTACAATTTAGTTTTACTTACTTGGTTCTGAGTTGCTTCCTCACTTTCCTTCCTAGTTATTAGGTAAGGTTTCTCCTCTTTCATGGGAGGCTTTTACTGTAAATTTCTCCCTCTATCCACTGTCTTCACACTATGCATGGTTTTAGAAACCTCTATCGAAGTAGAGTTCTCTCCCCCTCCCCCCCAAAAACCACCCTACCTGCTCGTAGCTAGCTTTGTGTCAGGAGCTGCCGGGATCTGTGAACAGCTGAGAGCTTAAATATGTATTTGTGCTTAATGTTGGGTGGAGGTATATGGCTGCAGACCAGATCCGGCCCATGAAGCCCTTTCAGCTAACCTAACAGCCTCTTCCGTTTTCTTTCTTTTAATGATGATAAAGCAACAACCCTGTAGACTGGTTTCCTTCCAATTGCAGCACTCCATTGGGCGTTTTCCAGGATGGGGATGAAAACTGAGACCGCCCTACTCCTCAGATGATCCTGTAGATCACTGTGGTATGTTGGCAAAGGGGATGAAAGTAACTCTCTCCTTAGCTGATCAATGTGGATCAGCTGAAGAGTGGAGGGAGCCTGTTTGGGGGTTGTAGAGGGAGGTCATAATCTTTGTGTGTCTGTGACAGTGCATCAAGTGTGTGTTGTGCGTTAAGAGGTGTGTGTTGTAAAGTATTGTGTAACTGCCTGGCCCTGCTCACTTTTGGAATGCACCCGGCAATAACTTTCCACTAAGGTATTGTGACCCCCCCTCCACACTGAAAAACTTTCCCCACTCCTTATTTTTAACATATTTAGCTGTCAGGAAGTACAGCCTTAATCAGGACTGAGACTACAGTGTGTAGGGATGGGGTTTAACTCATTCGTTCTGCCATGACCGTGATGGAAACTGATTGGCAGCTCTGGCAGCTAGGGTTAATAGTAGCTTGGGAGACGGGTTTCAGAAGGGGGCTTTTAAAAACCCTCCTTGTGCTCTGCAGTACGGGGTTCCCCACCACACTTGGTGGATGTTACAGTGCAACAAAAGCAGCATAAAACAACATTCTATACTAGAATCAACATTCTATACTAGAATCATCACTTAGGCACTCTTATGGCAGCATATACCCACAAAAACACACCGTTGTGGAGGACCCCACAGTCTTCCAGCTTTCTGCAAGAGGCAATTTAGAAAAAAATTTCACTTCTTTTGTTGTTCATAATTTATAACTTTTATTTAGTGTGCATCTCCCCCCAACAGGATGCATCGGCTTAACCAGGCAATGTTTCCTGCATGGCAGGAGTTTTAAAATCCAGTTAAATCTGTGCTGAGAGAGGAATTATTGCTTCAATTGCTCGGCAAATCTGATTAATGCCATGTAAGATTATTTCTGGCACAGGAGGGAGTCATGCTTGATGCAAAGCAATGCAAACATTTGGCAAGATAACTGGCCTCATTTTAACATGATGTTTCGTCAGGGGGTCTCACACAGAAACAGTCATTTACCTCAACTCAACCATCAACGAAGAGAAAAGAGAAGGGGTGGGGGGGACCCACGGCCAGGAAATACCAAATGTGGCACTAATGAAAGTGATGTGAAATTCTTTGATCTTAGAGTCTGTGGACATAACTCTGTGCAGCGCCAACAGAAATAAGTAGTGACATTTTGTGGGGAACAATTGCTAGGTTAGCTTGTTGGGCTGGGTGGGAGACATGCTAATCTGTCAAAACCAAAACCAGTCTCCATACGGAAAAGAACTCCCAAACCCACAGCTGGGCAGTATCTATATTAGAACCAACCAAAATGTCACGAAATGCCAAGCACACTTTTGAGCTTTCCAAAATTCTTCATCAGGCTAGACAAAGAAGGGTGGGGAGTGAGCAAAAAGCAAACAAGCAAAATTAGGTTGGCTCTTACTGTCGTACAACTTTATACAGTACAGTCAAATCTTCCTTCAAAGAATCCTTTATTAAGGGTACTGAGAGTTCTTAGGAGATGCTTGTTCACCCCTGAGAGCTAAAATTCCCAGTGGGAAGAGGGATTGATTGTTAAAACCACTCTGGGCATTGTGAACAATTCTCAGAGAATAATTCCCAGTGTCTTCAGCAAACTGCACGTCGCAGGATTCTTCGGTGGAAGTCACGAGTATTTAAAGTGGTATGATACTGCTTTAAAAGTATAGTGCAGATGGGGCTGAGGCGCTGCTGGATTAGTCAGCCTACAATCACCATCTTGTCAGAATCCAGTGTTGCTGGGAATCACACATGGGGAGAGAGCCTTTTATACTTTGAGAAGATGCTTCTGGAGCTCTGTGCAGTCTGCTTGGGTTTTCGCAGCGCAAATCCACTCGCTTCCACATATTTTATGCTCCTATGAGGAGGGACACATTTGGAGGAAAGAGTGGGCAAAGCTTACCAGAGCTGTTGCAGTTCAGGTCCTGTTTGTGACATTCCCATAGGCATCTAGCTGGCCACTGTGAGACCAGGATGCTGGACTAGATGGGCTACTGGCCTGATTCAGTGGCCAGGCTCTTCAGCTACAGGCACTCTCTTGTACCACACTGGAAAAGGGATGATTTGGTTCTAGCTTATGAAGCAGTGAGTAGGGGCACACAACACAACCAAATATCACCTTGCTCATACAGTAATAATAATAATAATAATAATTTATTATTTGTACCCTGCCCATCTGGCTGGGTTTCCCCAGCCACTCTGGGCAGCTTCCAGCAGAGACCAAAAATACACTAAAATGCCACACATTAAAAAATTCCCTGAACAGGGCTGCCTTCAGATGTCTTCTGAATGTCAAGTAGTTGTTTATCTCTTTGACATCTGATGGGAGGGCGTTCCACAGGGCGGGCGCCACTACCGAGAAGGCCCTCTGCCTGGTTCCCTGTAGCTTTGCTTCTCGCAATGAGGGAGCCACCAGAAGGCCCTCGGTGCTGGACCTCAGCGTCCGGGCAGAACGATGGGGGTGGAGACGCTCCTTCAGGTATACTGGGCCGAGTAAACTCGCTAGATAGCCATAGGCAAGTCAGCTTCTCACACTGCTCAATCTCCTTTTGCAACCCGGGGGTAATTATGCCAACCTTACAGGGTGGATGTAAGGATAATAGGAGAATTATGTGAAACTCCTTGACCTTTCTATAGTGCTGTAGAGGCACGGAGAATTACTATTAGCACCAAACATGCTAATTGTGCTATTTTAAGGCAAAACATGCGCCACTACTTTCTGTATGAATTTTCTGCCTCATCTTTGACATCAACTCATCTCACATTTGTGAAAAAGTGCCAGGTGCCATACCACATTAGAAGGAACAATAAATCAGAAAGTGACACACACATTTGTTTGCATAAACCTGTTTTCAAGCGGTATTGATGTGAATCTAAAATTAAATTTTGCTGGTCAGCACTCAACCTACTGTTATGAACTTGTACTGACAGTGTAACAGGTATTATTTGGAATTGTCACACACACACACACATTTTACTGTTATAATCATGGTTTTATATGAGTAACCCTGTATTCTGACCTGGGACCTTTTGGTGAATGGTGGGATATATTCATACATTCACACACACTAGATATACACCATAAAGTTGGGTTGTTCTAAAGCAGGCGCCAGGCGTGGTCAGAAGGCAGATCAGGATCTACTTGCAGACTAAGAGTTCTTCCATATGCCCTTTTTATTGCATATTCATTATGGTTTGCCATATACTTTCCCATTTCCACAGTGGTCACACTGCTTCATTTCCAGCCAGTGCATATCCCCTAACTTTCTACTGAAATCCCATAATTTTTTATACCAGAAATGTTCCGCTTTATTTTTGTTTCGCTTTTGTTGCACTATATAACCCCTCTGAACATCAGCAGCGAGATTGGACTGAGAAGCATCGCAGAACACACAAAGTAGAACAAATCACCACCTGCGCAGTATTAATTGTGTCCAGAACATTGTTGTCAACGAAGCACCAGCTTGAAGGGGCCCTGTGTGGTAATTTGCAATATATTGACAAATATTTTTTGCTCCCAGTTTTTCAGGCAACAGGAACTGCAAAATTAGTTCCCCTCCGTTAAGTAGGCAGCGAGAATCCCTGGTACATACTAGTGGAAAGACCTAGATCTATTAGACTTAAGTTAGAGCAGGGGAGATTTGGGTTGCTCATTAGGGAGGCTTCTTGATAGTACAGTTTGATGATGGAAGGAGTGGGCACACTGTCCATCACGACGTCTGAGCAGGTGTTTGTAGGGGATGACGTATCTGTGGGCATTCCATCAACCTAAACCTATACTAAGAGGTAGTGTTCAGGCCGAATGTTACAGTGTAGACATGTGTAATGTCCAACTGGCTACGTCTTCAAAGCAACCTCAGGAGGGGCAAATGTGCAGTGGTGATAGGATATGAGAGGGTGCTTAACCCTCTCCCCCAACTTTCTCCCTTTAAACTCTCCTCTTCCAACTGATTTCACCATCACTGGGTAAAATCAGATGGAAGCCGCATGTAACATTAACCCAGCTCCAAAGATCCCTTGAGAGGGGTTGATTTGCAACAGAGAATCAGCAGAGGGGTGGCTTTACCCTTTACCTACCTCCTGTTTTCTCCCCAAAGCCCTCCTGGAGGTGGACATATTTGTCAATTTGTGTTTCTCTCATTTCCTCATTCTTCTAGTCTTAAGTCTGCATCTGTCTGCATTTTTTTTTAGTCCTCATGAAAATTTCCAAGCATTTTAGTGCCAGTTTCTCCCAATACGCGCATTTTTGTATGCTGTTTCGCCTGATTTATGCAAGTGAATAGAATGCCTTTTATTTATTATTTTCACTAATACACACATTTCATGCACACTCCCCCAAAATACGGACTTTTTTGTACACAGTATTTGGTTAATGAACTGCACCACAGTATGAATTTTGAAGGATACCTATTTCAGCTTGCACATTGTTGTGGAATGTGCAAAACAGGTAGGTTCACATTAAAATCCCAGCCAAACTAAATTTCTCTTCCATCCCTAACATCTCTCGTCTGCTCCACCTGCAAGCAGATTCTCTGCTTGAAACCAGCCCATTTCAAGGATGCTTTTTGCGGCAGAGCAGCAGCTGTTGTGTTAACTTTATACGTGGCTCTGGTATAATCTGTAGTTTGGGTCTCAGAATACCCACTCTGGGAGACAGGAAACCTGGCTAGGCATTAGCTGTGCTCAGAAATCACACCACTGTCAGAGGAGTTTAAATAGAGAACCAGCTGAGATCTCTTGAGAATTATCTGCATTCCCTGGTAGTAGTTGTTGACACCCACTTTCCTGTCATACCCAAACTCGAGAGACGGTAGTTGTGCTCATTAACCACCAGTCCGCCATCCTTACTCAGCGATGACAGTATTATCCCTGCAGAAGGGGAGGACTCAGCAATGATAAATGTGCTTTCTTGCTAGTCCCCCCACAAGAGCAATTAAAAGTGTTACTATCCCAGATGGAGTATTTTATTTAAGTAACATGCCTGCCTTCATTAATAAAGTGAGGTGCTCCAGAGCTGGACATCTTTTTCCCTGCTGGTAAGAGGAGTCAAAAAGCAGCTAAAAAGAACGGCGTAAATATATTGTAAGACGCACCTTACTGTCTGCTTCTGTGTCCAGGGGCTTTCTAGTGAAAGGTTCCGAAGCTGCTCGCCTGATTTGTACAGTGGCGTTGTTTCAAAGCTCATAAAAATCAGGCAATATTTATTTATTCCAACAATATATACACCACTTACAATATTCTCTCAGCAGTGCACAAGAAACTCAATACAATGCAAATAAAAATGAGTTAAACACCAGAATTCAGTAGACGCTGGAAGCTCAACAGGGAGAGGGCCTGTCTGACTTCAAACAGAAGGGAATTCTATAAAATTCGGCCCACAATGCTGAATGCACCATTCCTACTGGTTACAAGCCATACATCTAAGCCATGGGGACCACTACTATAACTGTGACTCCTCCTAAGACCTCAGTGATCAGGCAGTGATGTAAGGGATCAAGAGGTCCTTGGGCAATACAGTGGATGCTTGGGTTGTGAATGTGATCCGTGCGGGATGCATGTTTTCAACCCACAGCGTTCGCAACCCGTGTCTGCACATGCGCTGGTTGCGATTCAGAGCTTCTGCACATGCGCAAAGCGCAATTTAGTGCTTGTGCACATGTGCGACCGCCAAAACCCAGAAGTAACCCGTTCCAGTACTTCCGGGTTTCGGTGATCCGCAACCCGAAAAAACACAACCTGAAGCGGCTGTAACTCGAGGTATGACCGTAATTGTTCAATTTATTAAAAAGTGCTTATGCGTCTTGTAACCCTAAGGTCTTCCATATTAATTCTCCATGGCCTGGCATGGGACTGGCTAGCCTCTTTGTGACATCAAAAAAGCGACAGAAGAGGTGGTTGTGTCACCTCTGGTTGGCCAGACTCGGTGGTCTGGTTCGCATGTCATGGTAAGCCAAACTACTGCCTATCGGGTCTGCACATGCAGGCTGCTGAAGAGGAGCTTGCAGCCACTGTGTTCCCTCGCCATTTTTATTTCTGTGATGCTCTGAACTCAGCCAAGTTTAGCAGGTCGACTGAACCTGAGTTTGCAGTTAAGTCACCTCCTCTCTAACCATGAGCTGTAACCAAGGTTTGACAAGCTAGGAGGGAGTTGAAACATGATAATGCCTTTGGTGAATCTGCGAGGAGACCATATATAGTGCAGGTCCACACCATCTCAAAAACTGATATTGTAGATCAGTTGGGTGGTATCCCAAAAATTAGCATTTTCTGCTGCTGCCCCCTGCACTCTGGAATGCCCTTCCTTCCGCTGCATGCGAAGCAGAAACCAGCTGTTTCAGGCATCTTGTGAAAACACTTTTTTTTTTACCCAGGCTTTCCCTGACTCATAAGATAGGATGCTATTATTCATCAATTCCTGTTTGGGGACACTTCCAGGCTGTCACGATTTCAGCTGGGATTCAATCATATACTGGCAAATTCAAGTTGCACGGCTAAAGCTGGTTTGGAGCTCTTGCACAACAAACCTACTTCCCCAAATGATCAGACTTCTTATGATAAGGAAAGTGATAGGAAACATGCAGTGGTACATGTGGGATAACACTTGTTTTGGTGCAGGATTGTTTAGCCTCCCCAAAATCAATTCTGAGTGAATGTTCCTTAAAATGTTGACATCATCTAATCTCCCTGCAAACAAATTAGGACAAATGCTCAAGAAGCAGGCTGTCTGTTTTTATACATTTCTATTTGTTTTTATGTTGCATTTCAGTACACTGCTTTGAACGGGGTGGGGGTGTGTGTGTGTACTGTTTGGTCTCCCCATGCTTCCCTCTTAAGCCTCAGATCTCAGAGGCTGTGAGTTTCCACCTTTCACCTTCAAATTCCCAATCTTGGAGACTTAAAGGGGGAGCAGGCAGAGACTCGCAAAACCTTTTCCAAGTCTCCTTGTGCTTCCCTTTTAAGCCTCTGAGATTGCGGGCTTAAAGGTGGAGGGGGCAGGGCCTTTTTTCAGCTGGAGCTCCAGCACCTCTCAGGTGGGCACCATTGCCATTCTAAGAGAACAAGGGAGAAGCTCATGGAGAGCTCTGGCAGCCAGTGTGGTGTAGTGGTTAAGAGCGGTAGACTCATAATCTGGTGAATCGGGTTTGCTTCCCCGCTCCTCCACATGCAGCTGCTGGGTGACCTTGAGCTATTCACACTTCTCTGAAGTCTCTCAGCCTCACTCACCTCACAGAGTGTGTGTTTGTTGTTGGGGAGGAAGGAAAAGGAGATAGCCGCTTTGAGACTCCTTAGGGTAGTGATAAAGCGGGATATCAAATCCAAACTCTTCTTCTTCTTCTTCTAGAAAAATAGCACTGAGGGGGAGACTTGCAAAGGGCTCAGCTTTCCCCTTCTCTCTTTAAGTCTCCAGTCTTGGAGACTCCAACCTTGGAGACTTAAAGCGGAGTAGAAGGAGACTCACAAAGCCTGCAATTGATTTTCCCCATGGGTTAACATCCCTTCATAAAAAAAAAGGATTCCCCATCCCTGAGCTATGGAATTTTAGCCTTAGTTTTGGGGGGTGGGGTAGGAAATGCAGCTAAAGGAAGACATTTCAGAGGCATATAAAATCATGCATGATGTGGGGAAGTAGGGTAAGAGAGCTTCTGCTCCAACTCCCCAAGCCCCATGCGAATGGAGGATGATTACGGGAGTTTGAGTCTAGCAACATCCGGAAAACACTACATTGGCTCTGCCTGCTTTATATTGTTCTGTTCACTTCTTATATTCTTTGCTTCAATTGGCTTTTTGCAGCTGCATCTCTATCTAGGTTTGCCAAGCAGAAACACACACACACACACACACACACACACACACACACACTGCAAATCTAAAAAAAAAAAATTTGCCCTTCACAGTAATTTACATTTTGTTCCTTTGCCACATACAGATTGTTTTGTGGGGGGATGATTTTTTTTTTGCAACATTTTACTTTGCAACTATGGATATTTGTCATATGGTTATCTCAGTTGCTTTTGTGGTTTGACATTAAGGCAGCTTCCTATTGCTCTGGGATGCTCTGAGAATGGAGGCTTGCAACACCACCTAGCTGGTTTGCAAAATTAATTCCAATTTCCCATCAAATTTCAAAAGATGCATAGGGCCTTTCCACAAAGAAATCAAACATGTTTCCCCAGCCATTTGTTATTATTCTGTTAGTGTGAATAACTCCTGATGTGCTTCTCCTGACTACTATACACTATCCAACTGCTCTGCCATGATGCTCACACAAACCATATTCCACACAGCATGACCCAAGAGTGGTGGATGGAGTCATCTGGGGACCCTGTGGGCTTGACTTGCATTTCAGGTACCTGCAACTACGACTGCTCTGTGTGTGTGTCTTCCCTTGCGATTGATCCAGAAGCTGTGCAGAATGCTGTGCCCAGTTTGTGGAGTGGAGCTCCTGGAAGCACACATATTACACCTGTGCTGGGGGAACTTCAGTGGCTGCCAATCAGCTACTGGGCTGTGCTCAAGGTCTTGCTGTCTAACATATGAAGCCTTGGACATCTTGGGGACCGGTTTACCTGAAGGACCGCTTATTTCTGTATAGGCCTTTAAGATCACTTAGATCAGTTGGGGAAATTCTACTTGTGGTACCCCACCGGGCAGAACATCATAGGGAGGTGAGCCCAAAGCAGGCATTTTCTATTTTTACCATTGTACTGTGGAATGCGCTTCCCTCTGCCATAAGTGAAGTGGCAACCATCACTTGCTTCAGAAATCTTTTGAAGACTTTGCTTTCTACCCAGGGTTTTCCTGACCCATGAAGCTGGACCCCATTTTATGTCATTGAAACCTCTGAAATTTAGTTTTATATGCTTTTGTGTGTTTAAATATTGCTGTTTTCCTGGGTTCTGGTTGCATTTTTGTTTTAATGTTTTGAATATATATGTTTGTTTTTAGACTTACAGCTGTGTTCGTCTGCCGCAGTTGAAACAAAATAAAAAAATTCCTTCCAATAGCACCTTAGAGACCAACTAAAGTTTGTCATTGGTATGAGCTTTTGTGTGCATGCACACTTTTGTGTGCATGTATCTGAAGAAGTGTGCATGCACACGAAAGCTCATACCAATGGCAAACTAAGTTGGTCTCTAAGGTGCTACTGGAAGGAATTTTTTTATTTTGTTTTTAATCTGTACATCATCACTGTGTCATCCAAACCCTAAACCAGGGGTCAACAAGTTTTTTCAGCAGGGGGCTGGTCCACTGTCCCTCAGACCTTGTGGGGGGCTGGACTATATTTTCTTTTGGGGGGGGAGGAAGATGCAAGAGCCCCACGAGCCCCAGTGGCTGCTTACCTGTGTCTTGTAAGCGGCAGGGGCTGGTGGCAGCGGCGGCAGAGGGACGATGCGAAAGGGCTCCGGAGAGGGGCTGCTTAAAATGGCGGCCACTCAAGCGCTGCTGCTGCTAACACCAACAAAGCCCAGCCCCCTTCCTCCTCTAGGCAGGGCGGGGAGAAGCCAGGAGGAGGGAGGGAGGAGGCGCTGGCACTGGCACCATCTGAGGGAGCGGGAAAGAAGGCGCACGCTGGCAATCCATGCAGCGATTCCCTGACCGTCCATGGGCCAGATCCAGAAGGCAATTGGGCCTGATCCAGTTTGCTGACCCATGCCCTAAACTGTGGTTAATGTTAAAGGTGCTTTGTTTAAACATGGCAGCTCCATAAGAGATGGTTTAAAGTTGAGTTGTTTCAAACAAAACACAGTTAACATTTACCAGAGTTTGTTGGGTTTGGACAACACAAGAAGCTGCAGTAAACTAAACTGGAAACATAATCTACCCAGCTCTCCCTTGTGGCTGCATTGGAGTTGTGTGTGGGATGCTCAAGCCTGAGGTTCACTGTAGCTCATTGTTGTCACACTAAACTATGGTTTAGCAAGATGTCCACACTGGGACACAGTGCAGACAGGAAAAAGCTGGCTGTACCAATGCTCTGATTCAGTAAAGGCAACTTCATATGTAAGGTTAGAGCCCCTGGTGTGAGACAGATGATGAAAATTACATCATTTAATTGCATTTGCCAAACTTTATATTACAATACAAACACATAGTCATATCCTGCTCTTGCATGGGGCTCTCAGGGACTGATCAGATCCATTACCCTTATATCCAGCAATGCATCCAAAACTATTTCACACGTCTTATATCCCGAGGTGAGAAAAGATTGACATAGATTTCAAATGGTTCCATATGAAAATGACACTTTCTAACATTTCCTAAACACATTTTGCTTTCTCAAATCTCGCAAGATATCACACATACGGAAACAAGTTATGGTACAGTGTAAAGAAGGGTGGATTTTTCTTTTCTTAATTTTTTTTTTAATGGGGACAATAGTCAAATGCTCTTACTATTTTCTCCTAACAGCTTGTTTTGGTTTCTGTGTGGGTGGCTCATGTGAGCCAAAATGTTATGGGGTAAATGTTTTGTGAGTGGAGAACAGATTGTCCTTTACAAGCTGAAATTTGAAAAATTTGCATTTTAACTATATTGTCAAGGGTAAAAAAAAATAACAGTGGCTACTTCTTAACCTGCTGACATATAGTAGCTGTTCCTCATACGAGGACTGAAACTCAAAAGGAGAATAACAATTATATAAACTAGAGCTAGTCGCTAGTTTTTCAAACTTAGAAGTACAGTCTACAATATTCAGCCTGTGAGTTATCATTGTCCCCGCTACTTAGATCCCAACTCACACATTACAAAGAGAAAAGGTTGAGGTTTGCATGATGCGCTCAACAACATAGTAGGTTCCAGACTGGGTTACTGAAATGTGTTCTACATGGAGCTGCCCTTGAAGATGACAAGATGACTTGGAAGCTTCAAAATGCAGCAGCCAGATTTCTGGTTGAGGTTCCATTTCAAGCTCATATCCCTCTGTTTTAAAACAGCTGTACAGGTTGCCAGTTGGTTTCTAGGTCTAATTCAAGGTGCTCAAATAGGCCTCAAATATCTGAAAGGCCGCCTCTTTCACTACAGGTTTTCTTGGGTGCTAAGATCAGCAGAAGGGGCCTTCTTGGTTGTCCACCACGCTCAGAAGCTATGGGTAGCAGCAGCTCAGGAGAGGGCAGCCCCTAAGTTGTAGAACTCCCTTCTCAGAGAGGTGCATCTGGAACCTTTGCTATACTGTTTTCATTTTATGCTCTTTTCCCTGGTCATTGAGAGGTATACTTTGGGGGTTCACCCTGTTCTTGTGAAGTAATTTAAGAGTTCTAAACTATTTTTTCAATGTTGTATTTTAAATTGACAGCAGTCATGAAATTAAAAGACGCCTGCTTCTTGGGAGGAAAGCAATGACAAACCTAGACAGCATCTTAAAAAGCAGAGACATCACCTTGCCAACAAAGGTCCGTATAGTTAAAGCTATGGTTTTCCCAGTAGTGATGTATGGAAGTGAGAGCTGGACCACAAAGAAGGCTGATCGCCAAAGAATTGATGCTTTTGAATTATGGTGTTGGAGGAGACTCTTGAGAGTCCCATGGACTGCAAGAAGATCAAACCTATCCATTCTGAAGGAAATTAGCCCTGAGTGCTCACTGGAAGGACAGATCCTGAAGCTGAGGCTCCAATACTGTGGCCACCTCATGAGAAGAGAAGACTCCCTGGAAAAGACCCTGATGTTGGGAAAGATGGAGGGCACAAGGAGAAGGGGACGACAGAGGACGAGATGGTTGGACAGTGTTCTCGAAGCTACAAGCATGAGTCTGACCAAACTGCGGGAGGCAGTGGAAGACAGGAGTGCCTGGCGTGCTCTGGTCCATGGAGTCACGAAGAGTCGGACACGACTAAACGACTAAACAACAACAACAACAATAATTTTAAATTGCTGTGAACCTTTCTGAGACCTTAGGTTGAAGGGTGTAAAATAAATATAATTTAATAATAATAATAATAGTAGTAGTAATAATAATAATAATAATAATAATAATAATAATACTACAGCACCATATGATACACATGTGGCCTGCCAAAAAAATGGACTGTGTGGTCTAAGAGGGTGGTCTAAAATAGCTGATGATCATAACAAAACTAACAATAAATGAAATGACTTTATGTTGAACTTGTATGAAATTGTGTATTCCTTCATTGCTTGCCCTGTCTCCGCTACACTTTTGGGTGCCTAAAGAAGTAATCAAGATATCAAGAAGGTCCTCCTACACTGCAATCCTATTCCCATCTACTCAGAATTAAGTCCTTTTGAATTCAATAGGGCTCACACCCACATAAGTAGTTATGGGATTGCAGCCTTATTTCGACTGAATGACCTAGAAAACCTGAGTTATTTAAAGAGGGTTGCCCATGAAGTGTTCAGAAATTTCAATTAGCGCAAAGCACTGAAACCACAATGTTGATGGGAGCTAGCTAGGCAATTCAGTTCCATCTCACCATTTCTACATGATTTGCATTGACTGCCAATTTGTTTTGGAGCTCAATTCAAGGTGCTGGATTTAACCTTTAAAGCCCTTCCGGAGATGGGATTCCATTTGTTTTATTCTGTTTTTATTGCTGTGTGTGAGCTGCTTTGTGTTTCTTTGTGAGAAAGAATTGGAACAGATTTTTAAAAAATAAATAATATAAACAAAACAAGCACTAACAACCTGTTTTGCATCCTCCATGCCAAATAGGCCCCTGGCTGCACCTAGAAAACCAACAGATCAGAGATGAAGCGTAGGCCAGGCTCCCTTCTCCCTAATATCTTGTGTTTCATGTGGAATGAACTTTTTGTACCGATAAGCATTTGACCAAGTAAGCCCCTTCAGCAGACTGCCGTGACACAATCTAGTCACATGCTTAACACCTCAGTGAGAACAAGACCTTTGTCTGAAGTGGTGTTAGTGGTTGTGGTGGTTACAGACTTTCCCTCCGATTTAATTTTAGGAGCAGAAAACAGCAAGAGAAGGTCACCGCCATCTCTTCACATCTGCAATCTATTTGCAATGAGTCGAACCAGTGCTCTTCTGTCAAAATACCTCCCTTCCCTCCAACCACATTCTTCCATGGTGACTCAGGTCAGCTATTCTCTTGGAACAAATCCATTCTGATGCTGTCCTTGTCTCTACTGGAAATTAATTCAGATATGAAGTCAAATGTTTATTTTGAAATGGCATCTCAGAAACCACGTGACTGAAACTGGACTTTACCCAGTGTGACAAAAACAACAACTTTGTTCAACGGCAAGGTGGACCTTGAAATGATGATCCTGGGATATTTCCATCTGAATGAGTAGAAGCATCACATGGTAGATTTTCCTAGCTGTGTCTTGACCCAGCCCTGAAAGGGTTTTCGGGCTCACAGACACTAGCAGTGGAGGGCAAGTGGGGCACTGCCTCACCGACCTCATTCTGCCCTAAGCCAGTCTCCACCTGCCTGCTTTTCTGCTTACAATTGGTCTAGGGCAGCCTTTCTCAACCTTGGGTCCCCAGGTGTTGTTGGACTACAACTCCCATCATCCCTGACCACTGGTCCTGCGAGCTGTGGATGATGGGAGTTGTAGTCCAGCAAGATATGGGGACCCAAGGGAGTAGAGCTCTCATCAGCTTTTTCCTCCTCCTCATAAAACTTAGCAGGGGGGAGGGAGGAGGGAGACAAAACTAGAAATATTTGGCGCTGTCTGTCATTGGCTCTGGCTCCACCTACTGTTGGTCTTCCCAACTTCCACCGGAACAGTCTCAAATGGGCACCAGCCACCATTGCACCACAGGCCCAAAATTAATCCTGTGCTGAAATATTCAGCTTATCAAGTTTTTACCCTATTTAGGGAGATGGGTAGAACAAAAATATGTCAAATAAATGAGCTATTTTCAGGTGGGTGATAAAATATGAAGTTTGGGGTGGTGCGAATGAGGCTTAATACTTTGAAAAGAGGCAGCATGTGTGTGTGTGTGTGTGTGTGTGGGTGTGTGTGTTTCCATATGGATTTCCCTTCTTAGTAGGCCAAGCTTTTTATAGATGTGTCACGACAATCTCCGCTGTAAGGTGACGAATGTGAAGAATGTCAAAGGTCAGTTCTTTTTGCACTGTTATTTTCCGCTCACATGAATATGGCTTGATAGTGCATAGTGGCTTGTACTTGACCTCCGTAGTTTCTCTGTGTTCTGTTGTTATTTATTTACCGCCCAGAGCAGTGACTGCTAAGAAAACAAAACAACCACTGTTGTTGCTTCAAGCAGTGGTAGATCTACAAACAACAGCCCTGTGCCGTGGCAAAATGCTCCAGTGGGAATGATATTAGAATCGTAGAATCGTAGAGTTAGACGGGACCGTAAGGGTCATCTGGTCCACCCCCCCTGCAATGCAGGAATCTTTTGCCCAATGTGGGGCACGAACCCACAACCCTAATCTTAAGAGTCTTATGTTCTTAACCAACTGAACTATGTAATGTTACAAAAGCTGGGTACCTGCCAAATGGTGGCAAGAGCCCATGGTGTCCCGGACACACACACAGGGTCTGTGCCCCTTTGGAGAACAGAAGACAAGGTGGAGACCACTGTGCTTTAAGAAATATGGTTTAGTTATCTATTTACACCTTCATTCCGCATGGAGGAAGTCTGCCTCCCTCCAAGATTTTTAAAAAATAATATTTTATTAATTTCCCAAAAATAAAACAACAACAATACAAATTCATAACCATATCTAGTAAAATTGACTTCTCCCAATCCCTTCCCTAGTTCTGTTTTATAGCATCATACCGCATGTCCAATGTAATTTAAAAACCATGGATATTACTCATTGTCCATTCATAAAGTCATTACAAGTAGTTCTAGAATCCTGCTAATGTATTAATCTGTGTACATTGCTTCTGTATATATGCAATAAAGTCCTTCCAATCTTCTTCAAATTCATTGTCATCTCCCCTCTTAATTTCATTGTCAATTTTGCCATTTCAGCATATTCCATTAATTTAACTTGCCTCTCTCAAAGATTCCTCTTCCTCCTTCTCCTTCCCAGAAAAGCCCTGCTGAGAAACACACCCCATCACCTTGGCAAGCCTTCAAACCTCTGTGCCTCTTCACGCGTCAGAGCAGCGGGTTCTTTTGCATTGGCAGTGAGCCTAAGTGGCCCTCTGTTATACGCTTAACGGCCCTAGCTTGGTCAGGCTGGTTTGCACAAACCAGGCCAGGAATTTCCTGTCTGGCACAGCTCTGTAGTTTGTGTCTCTTAATCCATACTCCACTTAATCAACATCCTTGCATTTATTCATTCCTAGAGTTTAGGAAGATCCCACCCCCCAGATCCACAGCACCTTCACAAAGGGACAGTTTTCCACAACTGTAACAGATCAGCAAATACTACAGTGATACAGATACATTTTCCTATGTGAAGGTTTTAATGTTTGATGTTTTTATATATGCTGTAAGCCGCCCAGAGTGGTGGGGTATAAATGGGTGGGGTAATAATAATAATAATAATAATAATAATAATGTTTAGGGGGATCCCCCTCACCCATATCTGTAACAGTATATTACATCAAAAAGCATTTTGGAGAGATTGCCATGTAGTTGGGCTGCTGTTTTTTGGGGGGTAGTTTCCCCCCATATTTTTTAAAAAGGTAAACCCTCTGCTGCCTCTCAGTAAGGCCTCCCCAAATAAAATATTTGCCTCCACCCACCTTAAAGTGGTCCCAAATGTCTCACCTTTTGTGGGAAAGGTGAATCCCATGAAAGCGGGAGATTAATAATAATAATAATAATAATAATAATTTAAAAAAAAATAGGGTGTTAGGTGCAAACCTGTCAGGGTTCAACCCTGAGTCCAGCACTGGGTCCAACCTCCCTGCCTCAGGCCCAAAGGTTCCCAGATCAGCTGCCTGGGTTCCTGGCTGTCTCTCAGACAACCCCCTCTCATTTCCCCTAGGGCCACAGAAGCAGAGAAGATGGCAAGCTGGTCAAGAACTTCACAGTCACCTCCAAGTGCTGGGCCAGTTGCACATGAGGCTGTTTGGGAGGAGAGGGAAGTGCATGGAAACTGTTACTCTGATCAAGCTTGGATGACAGCCAGGAAGAGACGGATCCTGCAGCTTCTATATAAACTCCTAGTCTGGTATGTGGTGTGTGTGTTTAAGCAACTACTCTTCCAAAGCAACTACTCTATTCCGAACTTAAAAATGGAAAGCGTAATGCTGGTGGTCAACAAAAGAGGTTTAAAGACTGTCTCAAGGCAATTTTTTAAAAATGAAGTATAAACACCAACAATTGGGAAACACTGGCCTGCGAGCGCTCCAATTGGAGAACAGCCTTTACCAAAGGTGTCATGGGCTTTGAAGATGCTCAAACTCAGGAAGAAAGAGAGAAACGTGCTAAGAGGAAGGCACGCTTGGCAAATCCACACCATGATCAATTCCTGCCTGGAAACCAATGTCCCCACTGTGGAAGGACATGTGGGTCCAGAATTAGCCTCCACAGTGACTTACGGATTCATTGTTAAAACTGTGTTTATAGAAGACTATCTTACTCGGCTACGAGTGATCGCCAAAGAAGAAGAAGGGTATTGGGGATTCCATGAGGGATAAACTACAAGTCCCACTGAAATCCATAGTACTTACTTTGGCATAGACATGAATAGGATTTCCCTGCAAAGTCCACAGAGGCCACTCATCCATGCTCCTTGTTTGTCTCTTTGGAGGGGAGCTAATCCTCCAGGGTCTTAACAGGACCCAAGGTACATGCCATCAGTTGCTAACTCCTAACTTATAATAATTGAGCCTTGTACTATGATATGGAGTCTAGATCAACTCCTGTTGTTTATTCTGGGTACATACAGTTGCAAGTGAAAGTATTCAACCCCCATTGCAAATCAGGTTTATTATCAAAATTTACAGGCTTTCAGCTGTTTGCAATGAGCAAATCAAACAAAAGCAATCGAAGTAGCTCAACGCAACAGATGCCGCAGACCAAGCCACTACCAGTCACAGTAAACAAGGCTGGCGATATGGACATAATGGTTGCAGAAGGCAGCTTTGCATGTTACAGGATTATTGAGATAATATATATATATGAAGTTTTAGATCACCCTTCTGCAACCCCGAATTATTTATTTTTTTAACTACAATTCCCATCAGCCCTAACCAACATGGCCAATAGTCTGGGGTGATAGGAGTTGTAGTCCAACAGCATATGGAGGGCAACAGGTTGTGGGAGGCGGTGCAGGGTCAAAGCTAAGTATTGTGGTTAGTTCTAGATGTGAGTTTATTAGGATTTTAACAATTCCAAACAGTCAACATGAATCTCCTAGCCTGTCTTTGTATTTCTTCCTATTAAAATCCATGTACTTGAGAACCCAGTCATCATTTGAGATGGCAGACATATCTGCCGTTACCATGAGGCTGTCCAATGACACCTTATCAGTCTTTCTCTGGCTAGTTGTCACATTAGCACGACCCTCCAAGACATTTTGGAGGGGCAGAGGATTGCGTGTCACAGCTAGCAGACATTGTAGGATTCAGTGTGTCAATTACAGAGAGGGGAGGTGGATGAGCTGAGCACTCTGGGAATTGTGCTAGGACCACAGCTGTTTTCGCCAAGCTTCTGGTAGACACCATGTCAAAGAACTCAGTGTTGTATTTTTCTAAATCCCATCTGATGAAACTGCCACAAGGCTGGCCTTCAAAGCAGCTATGGAGTTGTAAATGGCTGTGTCTTGACATGTATGATCAGATTTCAAAGCGAAGCACAGGACTAATGGCCAATTAGAACTGTTCCCTTTGGACATGGGCTCGCCCAAGCGATCATGTCAAATGAAACTTTAGAAGCTGAGGATCCTCCAAGCGGCTCTTTCTGTCTTTTCAGAGCTGTAGTGTTGACATTCTACAACATCTTATTGTTCCATTTGTGAAGGAAGGTGTCACAAAGCCTGTAACCGATCAACTTAAAAGAAAACTTTTCTAAAATTCAGACCCAACCTGGGAATGACCTTCGCACATGAGTACAGAAGTAGATTTACCTTTCCATGTTGACCACTGTTTTCACGGTTCCTGTTAACTTCCTTCCCAAATGAAAAAGAACACCTCATTTTACGTGGCCATGGTGGTGGTTGATATTGGCACCTTTCCCCATACAGATATGGGGCAACCAATTAGGGGAAGCATGTCCACACCCTTTTGGGGTCCTGTCTTTTGGATATGGCAGCTACTTTGTGCTGTGCCACTCCACCAAGGTAGCCATTTTGTAATATGCCATGCTTCCGCAGCAGCCATTTTGTGACTTGCACCCACGGCATTTTCTCAGAATTCCTAATGTACCTGCAGCGATGGCCCAAAAAGGTTGCAAGCCCCTGGGGACATAAGCCCCACTGAACACAGTAGGTCTGATGTCTGTGTAAACATGTGTATTGTTAAGCAGAATGCATATGAAAAAGCAATACAGGCAACTCCCAATTTACGTTCAGTGCCTCCACACATGAAACCAAAATCGTGTATATTGGGAGCACCCTGGAGGGGCACAGCTGACAAACTATAGCTCCCAGACATCTTTGGCGGAAGCCATGTCACAGGGACTAAGGCCCCATCTGTACTAGACATCTAAAGCAGTATTGTGTCACTTCAAACAGTCATGGCTTCAGGGTGCTGAGAGTTGCTAGGAGACTTGCTATTCCCCTCACAGAATTACAGTTCTCATAGTGGTTTAACAGGCAGTCCCTTCTTTCTCTGGGAACGATGGGACTTCTATACAACTCTCATCATGCTTCACAAACTACAGTACCCAGCATAGGTGCCATCTCGCGCTGAAGACTGTGGGTGCCCACAATGAAGAACTTCAACTTTGCCCATTGATTTCATGGGGGCTCAGCCCCACAAGTATATTATTGTGGGCGCTGAAGCACCCACAGCCCCCTGGATTTGGCTCCAGAGGCACCCAGGATTCCATGGGGGAAGCCGTAACTGTTTAAAGTGGTACGGTACTGCTTTAAATGCATAGTGCAGGCAGAGACTGAGAGAGAACTTCAAGTTCTCACTGCGGCTCAAGGAAACGGTGACAATTTTACACTGTCCATGACCACGCTACAGTCCCAGGCTTTTTGACAGTTCCCCATTATCCTTGCTGTATGCATGCAGTCTAACGCCCACGCTTGGCAGGACTTTGGGCCATGCATAGAACTTCCATTACAAAAGTGTGAAAAGTGCTACCAGGTGATTCTTTCTGCTTGTTCTAGGATTTGTTCGGTTTTTCTTAATATCAAAAGCAACGATCCTCGGAGTGTGTCACCGGTCTTTAGAGAGTAGGATGATCACGTGACTTCTACTTTCTGTTTCCAGCTGCCACATAACATTAAAAGAAACTAACACTTAATGCTTTCCTTAATATTACTTTCCATATTTCTCCAGAGTTGCCATGGGAATATTAGGTGATCACGACTAGAAGAGAAAGTGATCTAAGAGGAAAC